GAATAAAAATATCAAACAATAACTACATATAACAACTTTCCAGATCTGTAATTAGTAAACAAAATTTGACGTTTTGACAATACTTTTCTATAAATGTATTGTGTCATACGGCTGTTGTGCATGCAATGAGTTTGGTAGCCCATAGACTAAACGACTAAGTTCACATTGAGCAAATAATTATTTCGTTATAACGTTCATTCATGTCATTCATTACAAGAGGCTCTTAATTTTCAAATTCAAATTTCGAATACAAATATTTTTAGCTTATCATTCATTACAAGAGCCTCGAAATTTTCAAATTCAAATTTCGAATACAAATATTTTTAGCTTATCATTCATTACAAAACATCTCAATATTCAAATTCAAATTCAAATTACGAATTTATATTTTTTTATTTTTGCAATACAAACCGCTCGTATCTATTCAGCCAAGATGTCCGATATGCAAATCGATTCATACAGTATCTTTTTATTGATTTTCGTTCCTTTCAATAGAGATATGTTATTGTAAGAGACGTGTGAGCGCGCATAATGTCGCTTTATTGTGTATGCGATAAACAAGATAAAGATTTGATGACAGATGTTAAATCTGAATGTAGATGTCTTTAGTTACATCTGGTTATAGATTATATTATATAACTACTGAAGGTGCAAAAAGTATTGATGGAGTTAATTTAAATTAAGAACGTACAGAAATATGTTAATAAATTGAACAAAGATTGAGTGAGTGTTTCTAAGTTGATTGTCGCATGCCTAATCCTTGTTAATGTAAAAATTAAATTAACATTTATTCGAAAAGCAATACACAAGTTTTTTGCTCCTTCTTCTTGTGATGAGTCTGCGTTCCGAATGAGTGGTAGAATAAAAAAATGTGGCTATTCAAAATTGAATTTATTTGAATAAAGATTATTTCTAATTTCAATGTGTATAATTAGAGTCAATTAGAAAAATAAACCTTTTTATTTTAATATCAGGACTGAGTTTCACACACATAAAAAATATTTATCATTGTATATATTAATCTTTTAGAAATAAAAATAATCTTTATTTATGTGCTCCACCCGAATAGATTGAACGATTTCTGAGATTAGCGCCCACAAACGCACAAACAAACAGATAAAAATTGTAACAAAGATTGTTTTGGGTTCTATTGCGTTGATAAAGTATCCCAATAGTAGATTTTTATATATCTTTTACAAACAGACAGCAGTTATATTTTTATTGCGTATTTACTTACATGTTACAAATTATCTTATCACTTGTAATGTAACACTATGTTTATTACTTATAATTACACATATATACTTATAGTTATATGTTACGGATTAGATAAAGTATTGTCTATGTTATAGTTTTTGAGAATTTTTATTACAATTTTATTTATATATGTAAGTATTTTTTTTATTGTATGCTGTGTCTATATAATTCTATATATAGTCAAAATTATATTATTTAGTAGGGGCTGATGGTAAAAGGGTGATAATCTAGGGTTGTATGAATTTTAACTCCAAAATATAAAAATAATTGTCCTAAAAATAAAAAAAAACGTTAGCGACAAATCATATCACTTAGGGGTATGAAATATAGATAGTAGCCGATTCAAAGAGCTACTGAATATGCATATAAAACTTCATAAAAATCGGTTAAACCGTGTCGGACGTGTATGGTAACTAACATTGTGACACGAGAATTTTATATATAAGACTAGAGTTTTATATAGAGTCAGCCTACCCCTCAAAGGAACGTCGTGAAGATACAAATAAGTATTTAAAACTATAAAATAACAATTATAAATCCGTTAATCTTGAGCCGTTACGTAACACTATCTGGAATACAATGGTGCGATCAATAAACTCATCAAATATTGTCAAATTGCAATAGGGGCGCACTATTTGTCGCCCATTTTGTTTACCTATTGTTGTCTATGGTACCTGTTGTTGTTTTTTTTCGGAAACGGACGTAGGAAGGCGGTGACTTCCAGCCAGTATTAATGTGAACCTGTCCGTGTAAGGTGCAATATTCGATTTTCAAAATTTCATAGTGTACAGTGACGTAATATAAAACGAAAAGGTTTTTTTTAATATAAATAATGAAATATCCATGCAAAAGAATGTTCAGTAAATACACAACGGATTTGGAAATCGATTTTCGTAAGTGGTTTTTTTAAGGGTGCTGAAAAATTAATTAAATAATTGGGTAATTATTAAATTAACGTCATTGTCCAAATAGGTGATCTAGATAGGTCCGTAGCTGTATTCTAAAATGTCATAACTCTTAAAGTTTATTTTTTGGAAAAACGACTTATTTTGGAAAAAAAAACTTTAAAATAGATATCATTTTTTTTCTTAATAGATAGTTATTATTACGCGTGAGATATATAGAATCATAAGGGTTTATTTGGAAATTGACTTTAAATTCCAAACTTTAAAATAGATAAAACATTTTGTTTCTCTCTGATTAATGCAGTTATTATTGCGCATGGCAATAATGTACATAGACGAGTACGTATATGTAGGTAGAGTAATTGACTTAAGGTCAATAAACACTATAATTTAATGACCCCATAAAACTGAATATAATTATAATAAATTTAAAGTAAAATTTATATAATTAACAAGTAAAAAATATGTTGTACATATATTTTTTACTTGTTAATTATATAAATCAAAATATTGTTTGTGTGTATACACTTAAAAATAATTAGGTACGGGTGCAACTTTGCGCATTATCACACATAAATTAAAAAATAATATATTTATTTATTTAATTAATACAATATAAAGCTAATTGCCAACACGTTTATATTGTAAAACTATTATACTTAATTATATACCTACCCTACTTGACTATATGAAGATATTATACATTCTTATTTTATTTATTTTATATCCGTAATAAAAAGCCTGGATAATTTACACAGCGCCATGTAGTTCTAATGCAAACAGAATTTGTGTTACGGTACCAGACAATTGACAGATCTACTAAAATATAATTTTGTATATACTTACATACGTAATATACAGACCAAAACAAAAATACTCATGAATACAATTGTCTGCATCGTGCGAGGATACGAAGCCGCGACCACCAGAAACAAGGCCGTGTGCTAAACTGCTAGACTACCAAAGCACTGCATATATACATTTAAACTATATATAGATATACATTTTAAATTAAATAAGTAACATATTAAAAATTAGTAAAAGTTTTATATATCATCTCATATTTTTAGCATAGACTAGCAATCTACGATAAAGTCTCTGCTCGCCCTAACATAAAGCAATCAACTCTACATTTTTAAATACAATTTATAATAATCTTATGACAATTGAACCAAAATTGATATTATTAGTCTAATTTAATAACATCTAACAAAGAAATGCACCGTTTGACGTAAATAAAGTTATTTTTAAGTAAGTCGGTGTTGCACACGCGAAAAATAAAAAAAAATGCAAACAATAACTTGCAGTTATATCGTGCTAAGAAAACATGTGTGTTGTAGAAATATGTAGTAAAACGGTCATGGTAGAGACAGGGAAGTGACATAAACATAATTTTATTTTATAGTTTTTATTAAATATAAACACTGAAATTTATATATATTAATATCAAAATAGTTTCTCAACAGTATCACAGTTTCACATAATTAATATAGCAACGTAAGTCTGCGCCCTAATACAAAAATATCCGACAATTCGAAAATCGAATTACAAATTCCAATTGAATGTCGGCTCTTATACGATAGTTTATGACCACCGCTATAAATGGCCGCCATATGTTCTATTTATTGTCGCACAACTATAAGCAACGAAGGGAGGCGGGTTTCTATAATAATTCTGTAAGCTGGCAAGGTCATTTGTAAGTATTACGGTGGAACTGAATAATTCATCAGTGATGTTGTTTTCCCGCCAAAATGTTACGCCGCTGACGTACTAGATTTTTTTTTTTTCAGAGAAAAGGCGAAGGAACCCTCTTGACAGTTCGCGGTGTTGTCATAAATATGCATCCGTGAATGTAGTCTATGAATTTTTTGCATGAATAATTGCGTGCTCGTTATTTTTGATTGTTGGGGTAGGTCGGAGGTGAATTGATAAAGTGTTGGTGCACGCACTAATTAGGTGACTCCAAATTTGAATTTCAAATTAAGAACTATTCTAGTAGTGTTGTTCCTTATGAATGAATTTCATAGATTTTTATAAGGATCTAATAATAAAAAATAATTGGATATGTGTTGTGCATTTTTACATTGTTATGTGTTGTGGTGTTTATTATGTTAGTAACTAGTAACATAACAAAGTCCATACTTTCATCAACCCTCGGTCCTCTCAGACTAAAATAATATCCGTGAGGCGAGGCCTTGCATACATTTTCGCATCAGAATTGATTGAAAAAAAAACTCTGCGTGGTCTACTGCTTTAATTATGATTTCTGTCCAATGTAACCATAGAGATAGATATATTACCTTTAGAGAGAATTTAGAGAGAGATAAAAATACGGGAGTTTCAAAGCGTAGATGGCCGTGTCCCTCTTCATGAAGGAGGACTACCGGCCGTAGGGAGTGGTGTACCGGCGCTACCGTAGCAGATTGCCGTCGTCAGTGCCGTGACCACGATGTATATTTCTTTATTACTAACTGTCCCCGCAAACGTTGGTTTGCCATATAAATTAAAATCGCTATTAAAAGATAGGCGTTGATATGGGTAGAAAGGTGAAAATTTACACATAGCCACATAATAAAAAATTAAAAAAAAATGTTGCAAAAATAATGTTATAAAAAATTTTTTTGTAGAGCCACCCTTATCAGTTAGGGGTATAAAAATTAGGGTTATATCAAAATCAAAATCTGTCAAGCCGTTTCGGAGGAGTATAAACACTAAACCTGTGAAACGAGAATTTTATATATAATATTACATATGTATGTTAGTCTATAAGGTATTTATAATATATGTATTTGTAGCCTGAAATATTAATAAAAAAAAATACTTTTTTTCTATAGCAACGCGCAAGACCACCGCGCGTCACAATCCGCTAAACGCGGCCGCCATCATGAAAGAGAAGAGTAAGAACGCGGCCCGCAGTCGCAGGGAGAAAGAGAACGCAGAGTTCCTGGAGCTGGCCAAGCTGCTGCCACTGCCCTCAGCTATTACGTCACAGCTCGATAAAGCCTCCGTCATACGGCTCACTACCAGCTATTTGAAGATGCGGCAGGTGTTCCCTGATGGTGATTATATCATTTTATTTTATTTAGTTGTAATGGTAAACAGGCTGACCACTCATTTTGTGGTAAGTGGTAACCATCGGATACAGACATGACGGCTTCGATGGTCTAACGTTTGAGCCGGTTTACTTCCGACGGTCGCGGGTTCGATTCCTCGCTCGTTGCAAACATTTATAGTCATGGATATGATTGTTTGGAGGTTTTCTATCTATATTATGTATATATTTACAAAAAATAATATAAGCTCTGCTATTGTCTAATACCATAGTATTAGACAACATGACATAATACATTTTTTTATAAATACTTGCATAATACATACAGAAAACACCCAGACCAATACAGACGATCAGACTTTTTTTTTATATACTATGATGGTGGCAATTAAGCATACGGCCCATCTGATGGTAAACGGTTACCGTAGCCTATGAACGCCTGAAACACCAGGGGTATCACGTGCGCGTTGCCGACCCTTAAGAAACCTTAATATACCCTTCTTGAAAAACCCCATGCTGTAGTCTCGTGGGAAAACCTCGGCAGGAAGTTCATTCCACAAACATGAGTCAAATGTTTCTATTATGAGGAGGAATCGAATCCGCGACTATCGGAAGAAAGGCAGCATGTTAAACCGCTGGACCACCGAGATCGACGATATTAGTCCTCAGATAAGCACTAGGGGCTTCACATCATGACGTTATGTTAGTAGTGCTGTTGATGTATATAATTCCCACATTTCACCAAATACAAACTTTAATTTCACGGGATTAAGGACGTTTTTCCATTCTCCAGATCTTGGTGTCGCGTGGAAAGTTCCCATATTCCACCAAGCACAAGCTTTGAACTCCAATTTCAGTGGATTAAAGACAAATTTCTATTCTCCAGGTCTTGGTGACGCGTGGGGAGCGGCCCCACCTCCGTTGCAATCCAGGGAGTTATCAATCAGAGAGCTTGGGTCACACCTACTGCAGACCTTAGATGGATTCATCTTCGTGGTGGCTCCGGATGGGAAAATCATGTACATCAGTGAAACAGCATCTGTTCATCTTGGACTCAGTCAGGTTTGTATTTCCACAAAAAGAATAATAACCCTGGGCAATTTATACAGCGCCATCTAGTCCCAAGTCTTTAGCAAAGCTAGTGTTGGGGGTACTAGACAAGTGGTATAAATACAAATGCTGGGAAAATTCGAAGAAGCACTCAGAACCCGCGGAAGAACTTAAGAAGCGATTGAAGGCTGACTCCTACCTGACGGATACGACAATCAGAACTCGACTCCTGCCGTCATAATTGCGACCCTGGTCTGTAATGGATGGTAGAATCAGTCGGAGATCTCTGTGTTTGTTTTTTCAAACTTTTCTATTGCTGCTGGCCGTAACTAGCATTTAGAGCATCACCGAACGATAGGGGGCGAGTGCAGATGGCACTCCAAACCCGCGGAAGCATTTATGGAACGGCTGAAGATCAACTCCTGCCTGATGAATACGACTGTAGTCTGAGGGCACCGCTAGGAACTCGAATTTCGGCTCAGACCATCGAATGTTTTCTTCATAATGAAGGTTATAAAAATATTTTCTTTCTGCAGGTGGAACTGACTGGCAACTCAATATATGAATACATCCACCAGTCTGATCACGAAGAGATGAACGCAGTGCTGAGTTTGCAGCATCCTCACTCCTACCTCGGACACCAATACCCGTCAATAGGGTGAGTGAAAATATAAATAAAGAAATTCGAAGATAAGATGCATTTTGTTAGTCTTCTGGAACGTCAACGCATGAGTGTTACCATGGTATAATATCTATACTAATATTATAAAACTGAAGAGTATGTTTATTTGAACGCGCTAATCTCAGGAACTACTGGTTTGAATTGAATAATTATTTTTGTGTTGGATAGTCCATTTGTCGAGGAAGGCGTTAAGCTTTAACATTACGCTACGACCAATAGGAGCGGAGCTGCAATGAAAAATATTGCAAAATATGGGGAAATGAAACGCAGACGAAGTTGCGCGGGTCAGCTAGTGTATTTATTATATACTAACTAGCTGACCCTGCACACGTTTTTTTGCCATATAAATTAAAATCTCTATTAAAAAATTGGTATTGGCGATAGAAGGGTGAAAATTTAGAGTTGTATGTATTGTTTAATGCCACTTACAAAAATTGTCCAAATAATAAAAAACAAATGTTAGGGGTGAACAACCCTCGTCACTTAGGGGTATGAAAAATAGGTTAGTAGGTAGTAGTCGGTCCTCAGACCTACTGATATGCATATAAAATTTCATCAGTTTCGGAGGAGTATGGTAAGTGGTTACTAACATTGTGTTCTGAATTTTATAAATAATATTGAAATCTTTGTTAGTAATTTCAAATTAACAGTATTTTACTAACTGCATATGAGAGGGGGTTGGTTGGGGTGGGCGAACTATAATTATAAGTGTAAAGCAGGCGCATCCGCGCAGATCAATTAGTAATAAAAAATATATATTAAAAACTACAAATAATAGTATATACACTAATAATTATATGTATTACAGATACCCCGTGGGTGGGACGTGGGGCCCAACAGTGGACATCGAATGCGAGAGAGCGTTCTTCATTAGAATGAAGTGTGTATTAGCGAAAAGGAACGCCGGCCTCACCACCGCTGGATACAAGGTACGATCCTTTATTTTTTTTATGTAAAAACAAAATTGGAGTCATGTATTAACGTTTAAAAATAAACTAGAGATCGTCTAGGGATCGAAATTCGATTATAATTAATTTAAATCATAAGTATGAATTTTATTAAGGGTCTATTTTCAAAGATTTTCTTTACGTATTAACATATAGATTACTATGCAGCACAGAAACAAACCTGGATTCGCTGACATTATTTGACATTGACGTTTTGTTAGTAGTCGTGTATGTAAAAAGAACTAATACACAAAAATGATAATGAAGACAACGGCTGTATGGGCTTAGACTCTTTGCCTTTCCTATAAGGATAAAATAAACTAAAAAAGTATAATGTTAATGTTTTTTTTTACTGGTTTAATGTATTTTTATGTATATTTAAAAAGTATATTAGGATTCTGCACTACCTCTCTAAATAAACTGAAGACTGTAAGAAATCTTAATAAACTGGCTTTATAAAAGAAAAAAAAGAAATTAATTTGAGTTTCTTGCCAGTTCTTCTCACTTCACTTGTCACTTAGGAGTATGAAAAATAGATAGTATCCGTTTCTCAGACCTACTGAATAAATATGTAAAATTTCCAAAATTGGTAAATCCGTTTCGGAGAAGTACATATAAACACGAAATCTGTGACACGAGAATTTTACCAATAGTCGAGTTTCAGTTTTTAGTTCAATTATTTTTCGTACTATTCTAATGCTATACAGGTCAAAATGACAACCGTCCTTTTTGCTTCGTCATAGTCGGTAATAAGTAGATTAACAGTTTAATTTTTTTAAGTGCCGAAATCTGTTATCGTAGTACGCGTGTAGGTGCTCCGCACATAAATAAATACTACCAATTTGTTTGTGCGTGCGTCTGTGATCGCTATAAGTACTTATTGTTTGTTTTGGGGCAATTCAATGGGGTAACGATGGTGTGGGGGCTCCGAGATATGCAATTACGCGGATTGTCGCCGTTGTCTCATAGTTTTCATTTGTGTGAACTTTTTTATCGTTTTCACTAGTTGCTCAACCTGGTTTCGGTCGGGTATAATATAATTTTGTATATATTTCTTTAATGGATGATAATGGAATGGTGCACCCATCTGCGCTAACGGTTTGCGCTGGCGGGGCACCAGTGGAGGATGACAAAATGAGGTTAGGTTAGTTAGTCTATCGTGACGAATTCACCAGGAATTTATCATAATGGTTTCCAGGGGGAACCGACTACTATTTACTAACAATTCCTTTCCCCCTATATACCCTATAGTATTTACTCGCGAATTTACTTGCATACATCTCTACCTTCGTTATCATTTTTAAGGAAATAAAATCAATTACAGGATATAATGTAGTCATTTCAATCGATCAATCGGATATCTATCTCTGTTTTTTCGGACTACTCTAATACTGTTGGCCGCAGCTGACCTTTACAACTTCACCGGACGATAGGGGGCGAATGAAGATTGCACTCTAAACCTGCGGAAGGTCTTATGGAGCGGCTGAAGGCCAACTCCCGCCTGACGGATACGACTTTAGTCTAAGAGCATCGCTAGGGTTTCGAACCTAGGCTCAGGCCGTCGTAATTTCGACCCCCTTTGAATTGAACTGGGGATCGATCGGAGGGGTAGAGCTATGTCAGTATGAAAAATGTATTTCTCTATTCAGGTGATTCACTGTTCGGGCTACTTGCGGGCGCGCCGCTTCGGCGAGGGCTCCGCTCCTCTGGGGCTGGTGGCAGTGGGCCACTCGCTGCCCCCCTCCGCGGTCACGGAACTGAAGCTGCACTCCAACATGTTCATGTTCAGAGCTTCCCTGGACATGCGGCTGATATTCCTCGACGCCAGGTAAGATATCAATATTCCTTACCTGTCTTGTTTTATTTATTAATTCTTACTTCAGTGGTCTAACCGTTTAGCACATACTTGGCGATGGTCGCGGGTTCAATTCCTCCCATGGTGCAAACATTTGTATTCATTGTTTGTATCGGTCTAGGTGTTTTCTATGAATGTATTTACAAAAAAAAGTGTCTAAGTATTTATATCAGTTGTCTAATACCCGTAACACAAGCTCTGCTTACCGTAAGACTCCGTTAATTGTCCCGGGTTATTTATTAATTCTTAACTATTGCGTCGAATTAAAATTAATAAGACATTTGAAAATAATAAAAGCTGAGTTTCTGGATAGTTTTTCTTAGCTCGAAATCATTCCGAACTAAATTGAGAGTCTGTAATAGACCTACATGAATATAGATATTTTGAATTTGAATTAGCAGATTAATAATTAAAAAAAAAAACATTATAAATTTCAATTCCCTCTCTTAGAACTTGGTCGGTAAAAACATTATATAACTATTTTCTAATAAGTCCCACAAAAGTAAATATTTACGTAATTCAGTTCTTTTTGTAATATTATAAGAGTTTGTAATAGACCTACATGAATGATATTTAGATTGATTGATTCGATTTGATATAAAAGTCTCAGTACAATTCAGTCTGTACGTCGGTCACAATAAATAATAAATTTCAAGAGGGTTAATAAAATAACGCCCCGTCACGGCGTCGAGGCGGAACCAATCGATTTCACGCCCACGCATGGGACAGTATCGATTTATATATCGATACAGAATGAAATATCGATACCAATCATTTCGTTCTTAATCTGAAAGATGTCGAATGAGGTAGTTCATTCGACATCTCTCAGATTAAGAACGAAAGTACCGAGGTTTTCTGGCAAAACCTGTAGTTTTGCCAGAAAACCTCGATACTCATGGGGTTTTTGAAGAAGGGTATATTAAAGTTTTTTATGGGTTTTTTATGTATGATTATGGAATGGTGCATCCGCCTGCGCTAACGGTTTACGCTGGCGATGGCGGGGCGCCAGTGGAGGATGATAAAATGAGCATGAGGTCAGGTCAGTTAGCAGTTCCACCTGTAGAAAAAAAATATATTTGTACAACCTCCAATATGAAGAAGAAATATGACGGCCTGAGCCGGGGATCGAACCACTAGCGGTAACCTCAGACTATAGTCGTATCCGTCAGGCGGGAGGTGGCGTTTGGAGTGCCATCTGCCGGGGCCCAGTGCCCCTGTCGTCCGGTGAAGCTGTAAAGGCCTGCTGCGGCCAACAGCATTAGAGTAGACCAAAGGTTAAAGAAATTTCACTTAAAAAAAGTAAATAACAAAGGAATTCACAAATGGATATAAAACCTCCATTGATTTCTTAGTAGGCACTCAAGTACTAAATACTTAAGTATTACTATTTGCAAATATCGCCCTTCCCTACTCGGGTAATATTCACAATCTATACTGCTTCGGTTCCAAGAACTGCGCCATCTTTGTGACGCGAACAATGCTTGCCCTTCGGCACCGTTTCCATTGACCATCGAATGACGTGTGACGTCACGCCGAAAATCTTTATATTAATACGCGAAGGAAAAAAATTTACCCCTTTTTACGAATATTGCGCGGACGGTGGAGTATGAAATGTCGCACACTTATAGTTTATACTAGCTGTACCCGCGACTTCGTCCGCGTGGAATTTAACTATATTTTTCTACTTCTAAAATAAAAGTAGCCTAAGTTACTCCTTATTACATGAGCTACCTGCCAATAAAAAGTCCCGTCAAAATATGTCCAGCCATTTCATAGATGTAATGCAACAAACAGAAAGACAGACAAACATTATAAAAAATGTTAGTTTGGTGTATGCACCGTATTTATATTCATATGTATGTAGTAAAAAACGGTTATTTCAATATTACAAACAGGCACTCCAATTTTATTTATATGTATAGATAGAGAAGGAGTGCATAATGCTAATATTTCTTTAGAATTATACATAAACTATACATTAAATCAATAAAAATTATTTCACACACTACTGTGCATTTGACACACACGCATAAGTATAGTCTCAAACAATATAACCTCAATAATGTTAAAATGTAATTTTAATTAATTATGATTGCTTTTCGTCCATTGGTCCAACATTAGTAACAATAATAACCCAGGTCAATGAACCAAAATTAACTAAACACTCCACGCGTCATTATGACGTGGAGGCAATGACGCGTGGAGGTCGACCTATAAGACTTTCATCCTCCTCAGTAGTTTTGGTCAATCTTAAATATATATATAATAAATATATACTCAAAGGTGACTGACGTAGTGATCTATCAACGCACAGCCCAAACCATTGGACGGATCGGGCTGAAATTTGGCATGCAGGTAGATGTTATGACGTAGGCACCTGCTAAGAAAGGATTTTGATTAATTCTACCCCCAAAGGGATAAAATAGGGGATGAAAGTTTGTATGAAACTTTGTCAATTTTAAACCAATCGGGCTGAGACTTTGCATGCATAAAGCTACTATGACGTAGGCATCCCCTAAGAAAAGATTTTGATAAATTCCACCCCTAAGGGGATAAATTAACGCGAGCGAAGCCGCGGGCAAATTCTAGTGTGATTATAAATTCCTATTGGTATTTCACCCGTCAGGATGCACCATTCCATTATCACCCATTAACAAAAATAATATAACGACTACAAAACTGTCGTCTCGTACGACAATGGAACCATACCCAAGTTCACCATTTATTGGTTCACGGCAATCAGTGGTCCATAAACCGTGGACCTTACAATACTGAGTTAACGCTTCGAGGAAATGCACGATATGCGGTACCTGTGTGGTGTACTATTCTTCATCTGGGAAACTTAGGGTCCATATATAAATTACATCACACTTTAAGGAGGTGGCCTCCTGATGTGTGACAACAGGTGACAATGGGTTCTATAAGAGAGATGTAGGCGACGACGACAAAATGCGATAATGGGTGCTATAAGAGAGGGAGCCGTTACCGTTGCAGTTGACAGTAACACATATCAATATTAAAACTACTCTAATCTTTATTTTATCGGTAGACTTTTTACAAAGCCGTCTGCATGGATATAACTATAAAACTTGACGTTCATAAGCGTCTAAATCGTCGTCGTTTTTGATTTGATTCCATACCTCACTATCAGTCCTCTGGAATATAAATGCTTGAGTGGTACAGCGGACGTTATATGATAACGTGTTATCCGTATTGCTGTTCATGCATATAGTTTAAATCCAAATTCAAAATATCTTTATTCATGTAGGTCTGTTACAGACTCTTATGATAGGTCTCTATCGTTAGTTCGGAATGATTTTGAAACGAAAAGAACTGACAAGAAACTCAGCTCGCATTCTTTTCAAATAAACGTTGTACATGTTTATAATAATACAGATTCATTTTTAAATTCAAATTGGGGAGAATGTTATTGCAAAAGCAAATTGACTAATCAGTGTTCGTAACCCGAACAGACTAGTCCTCACAAGCAGCACCCGACTAATATTTAGTCCATGACCGTAATATTTGTAAAAAGTATTACATTTTGTCATAATACTCTTAAATAATCAGAAACAAAAAAATATATTATCAACCATAGATATTTTTCCGCCAAAATCGCCGCCATCTTGCCACAAGGGCACGGTCCGAGCCGAGTCGTATTCCAAACAGATGTTCCCCAGGTGTCGATCAGTTTTGCATATCTACGCGTATCTCACAATGTTTTGTAATTCAATACCATTTGTGACAATCCGACTCGTGTTACATCTCGAAGGCTACCATAGACAAAGAATCTACGGACATGCTTAGATAAAAGAGTGAAATAATTGACACATTTAGTTACTACTTGAGATATTAAATTACATGAGTATACCTTAGATATTGAATAAATAAAAAGTGGGCATTTGTTTGTAATATAGATATTAAATTTATCTTTTTTTTCTTTAATTACTTAGAGGTTAGATAGTTTCAAATAAATACATTAAATTTTCGTAGTCCTCTTATAAGGGCAGTGCCAATTGTTCTAATTTCTGTTAATTGCTCTGTGTTTTAAATGTCATGATTGAAAATCTAAAGAATCATTAAAATTTAACATGGAAGTTCAATATCAGTAGATTGATTAACAAGAAAATAAATTGTAGCCGTATTATAATACATGTCTAACCTAATTACATATAATGACAAGACCCATCGCAAATTGGTCGAATATATACGTTATTCCCTTAACTTAAAGTCCAAAATAATAATCTGATTATATGTCTTATATAAACGTGATTATTCTATAATCGTTTGTTCCGCGTGCATCAGCAAAATGGCGATTGTAGAGTCAGCTGACTTAGCATTTTGTATCTAACTATTTTTATTTCCTGATTATTTTGCAGATATGTTTACATAATATAAAATAAGTCGCTTCCGATGGCTGTTCGCTTAGAGCTTTTAAATTAAGCAACGGATTTTAATGCAGTTTTTAGCATATAGTTATATATAGATAGTGTGATTCAAGAGGAAGGTTTATTGTATAACATGTACGCCGTTGCAAAGCCAAGGCGTGTAGCTAGTAATATATATTGTAATTACGCGTTACCCGCGGATTTTTTAGGAAATACAATTGTGTGGGCACATGCCTGCCTGCTTATTGTGCTATATTGCCAACACATGCAATTTCACCTCATAATGCATTTCACGTCATTACATTTCTTTAGCAATAAAATCAGTGTTCAGGTGGCACTCAACCAAGGTGGTGTTAGTTAACAAAACCTCTTATCAATCAATCAATCACTATCATTATCACAGGACTATAGGCTTAAGCTCCCACATTCTTTGGACCTCCGAGACGTATATGAACTAGGATCCATGGATAAACGTATATTTTCTTAAAGTTTCTTATATACATATATATATAGGTATATTGGTTAAAATCATAAACTGCATTTTTAATTCCACGTAATGGGAAAAAACAACAATAAACCAAAAGTTAGAAAAATGTTTTTCAAAAACTGGTATTTATTCATAAAAAACTAGATAACTGATACTTGTAATACGAAACTGTTTGCCAAAATAATAACCTAAAAAACTGCTATTTATCGGTAAAAAAACACCCACGGCTCTGTAATGGATCTAATAACCACTTTCTCCACGTGTCCTCGTCACCCCATGACATCGAGTACTCACATATTGTTTTTTCATGCGAAAAAACTGTTGACATAAAAAACAAATCACTTCCGCCAATTAACCGGGCGAGTGTGGGGCGCGACACAAGTGAGGACGCTGTAGAAGGGAAGTGCAGGGCTTGTTTAATGATCAATTAACTATCAATTACTTAGAGGGAGACTTTGTACAAAGTGTTGAAAGTACAATGCTGGCTATCGTTGAATAAATTGTTTGTACACTTTTATAGAATATACAGTCATTTTAATATTTAATTTACAACTGAATTATTTTATTTCCGAAACAAAGTCGTATGCGTAGTATATAGCAGTTTATTTTGAGTCTATAATACATTTTTAATTTCGAAGACTAAACTGACAGGTGTACCTGTGTATAATTTTTTTCTCACAAACACGCATGACAAAAACATTACGTGTTTTTGTATAATACAATGTAATAAATATAGAATTGTAAAATGAAAAAGTCAGAGAAACAATATAAAAAAAAGAAAAGTCACAATAGTGTCATCTATTTTTTTATAATATAATCGAAACGGTATATCTACATATAAAACTGTTTACAATGAATCTATTCTATGCAAACAAATATTTACAAATATGTCATACTGAAAAAAAATTATACACAGGATCTTACAATTTCTTTTGGGTCAAGTGTTGTCGTTTAGTCCTTTCCTTGACATTAAAGTCCAAAGATTATTTCTTCTATTATTATTTAGGACAGACGTGAGACCGTAAGTATCGGTTTTGTTTTCGTGTGAATTAACAATGTTGTTTCTGCAGGGTGGCATCACTGACCGGCTACGAGCCACAGGACCTGATCGAGAAGACGCTGTACCACTACATACACGGAACCGATGTACTGCATATGAGATACTCGCACTGTACTCGTAAGTTTGTTTAAATACTATACATTCTTAGTTGCCAACAATTGCAATACTCAGCATATGCTGCGACAGGTTATGGTTACTGCTGTGACAGTCAGACTCTATGCTTATACATACACCGTAAGTGGCTTACTTAAGTAGTCCCTTCATACATTTTATTTTCGACTTTATAATTAGTTCAATAACGTTGATTATCTATTGGTGCAGTTCTAACAAAAGGCCAAGTGACGTCACGCTACTACCGTTTCCTGACCAAATCCGGTGGTTGGGTGTGGATGCAGAGCTACGCGACCATCGTACATAACTCGCGCTCCTCCCGCCCGCACTGCATCGTCTCTGTCAACTATGTGCTCAGGTAAGAACATATCCAGCAGGAGTTGGCATTGCTACTTCACACCTCTCGCGAGGAGGTGGTCTTTAGAACCTTCGTCCAATTCAAACAGGGAAATTACGACGTAATTGCGACGGCCTGATCCAAGGTTTGAACCCCTAGCGGTGCCCTTAGACTAAAGTCGTATCCGTCAAGCGGAATTGGCCTTCAGCTGCTCCAAAAGTCCTTCCTTTGGTTTGAAGGCCAGCTGCGACCAACAACATTAGAGTAGTCCGAAAAAAAATAAAGAGGACCTTCAGCCGCTTCTTGGAAATGCAATTTGGTTCTAGCGAAATCTCGGCCCGAAAATGGACGAAATCTCTCTGGACGATATTTAGAACATTATTCGACACGATAAAAAATACGAAGTTAACCTTCACCCACTCCTAGAAAATGAAATCTCGTTTTTCGATATGTGTGAAATTAAACATTTATATTATGTATGTATAAAAAAATATATATGTAAATATTTCTATCATTTGTCTAGTATCCATGACATAAGCTCTGCTTACCTTGGGACTAGACAACACAATTTCTACTTATATTTACACCGCATATTCAATACTAATCTGACCATATTGTTACAGTGACATCGAGTCGAAGCATCTAATTCTAAACATCGACCAAGGTCCACCCAAACCCAACCACGACCTGCCCACACAGTCCCAACATATCCCGACCACCACCACCTCACCACAGATGCCGCACCTCCGGCACACAGACAAGCTCAACCACATACACTTAAACGAGAGCGATTTCAGCGGCGACTCGAGTGGGGGCTACACATACCCAGAGTATACGCTACCAGTCATCCAACCCTACGACAACCGAGAGGAATACCAGCAAAACGGCACATACCAAGAGTTGTTCTACAACGAGAACTATCAAGAGCCGGAACTGATATCGAGTAACTATGTTAGTTACCCGCAAAATCAGAGACCGTTTTCCGCTAGCTCGTCGTCGTGCAGCTCTATTGAGAGTTCAGAGATCGTAAACCAGCAGTACAGTTATACGAATTTGATATCGTTTTATGGACATAACGGGCAAGCGCAAAATGGAAGGCCTGTGGAGAATTTCGGGACTAACTTCGGGAAGATGACGCCCAGTCCTTCAGTGCAGGAGGGTTATACCAGCGTGATTGTGGACAATACGCAGCAATTCCACCATCATGGTGGAGGAGTTAATGAGTTTGTACATTGACGAACTTTCTAGACTCGTAGGGATGAGAATTATAGTTTGCATTTAAAGTTTTCAGACTGAACTATGCTGAACTGTTCTTAAGTCATTTGACTACAGAAATTATGTAGTTTTTTGAGTCGACTGAACTTTATATGTATAAGTAATTACGTATGTATCTTTTTTGTTCAAAAAGAAACATTTTTATGAAGAACTTCAATCGCTCTTAGACCATGCAACTAGGAGAGTGAGACTCCAAGCTAATGTTATGTATAATACGACCAATTGCAAATACAGATTAATATTTCCCACCAAAAAATTTCACAGAGAAATTTGTTTTTAATTTACTCAAAAAAAAAGTAAATGTATCATAATTTTGTTGACGTAATATACCTAATTATGGAAAATACGAAAGTACCAAATCATACTCGTATATATATAAATTAAAATTGTGAACTTTCATTTTTCGTAAACTTGAAAAGCATTACTTTAAGAACTAAATACTGAACTGAAATAACGGTTCATAAGAATTCAAACAATTATAAGTGAAATATTCAACTGTATAACCCCTATTGTAAATTTGTTATCTCATGTCAAGTCAATGGGTACAAGGGCAGAGGAAGGCAATATATGTGGATGAATAGTGTGAAATATGATAGCAAGAAAGGGAGTAAATAACGTGATGAATGGAAGAGAAAAATGTATGACGCCGACTCCAAATAAATGGGATAAGGAAAAAGCAGACGATGAGCTGGTAGTTACATTAGTTACGAAGTTTATAACGATACAATGACATATTCACACGAAAAATTAGTTTGTAACCGTTACTACAAAACTGTATTAGTAATAACGACTTCAATGAGTTCCGTATCGAATAACGTAATAACTGTTTATAATTAGTTATTTATGGAATATCGTTAGTATAGTTACATCACTAAACAGATATTCCAAATATAAACTGAAAATTTGTAAATAATTGTACATACGTAGAAAACTATTTTATATAGATATAAATTGAAGACTTATCAGTTATATAGCCTATTTATACATCTTAAAATTTATATTATATAATATATTATAATATAATTATAACATCTTACTACTTTATTGCCACGATTTGTTTCTTTTTATTTCACCCTATTTTCTAGATTTGCTATATAATATTAGTACACCCCTATTTGCGGTATGAGCGGTAGATGAAAAATAAGTGATATGACTATTCAAAATTGCTTAAATATATTGGAATAAAACTTTAAATAGAATATATGAATAAAATAAAATAAATAGAGAAAATGAAACAGAGCAAAAGGAAAAATATTCATATAATTGAAATAGTAGAAAAGTACATTTATTACAGATATTAATTGATTGATTAATAAAATTAATAAACCAGAGACAAATTTAATGATAACAATTTGAATAAATAAAAAAACATATTTGTTTATACCTTAGAACACAAATTCGATATAAAATAAAAAAAAAGTTTTTCTATATTTTGTCTTGCCTATAATATCAAAGCATATATCTATTCATATAGGTTTATTACAGACAGTTGCCGTTAATTTGGTAATTTAATTTCAGTTTATAAAAAGGGGTTATAATATGAAAACCGGACGGCCCGTGCCGACAACGCCAAATGCGTCTGAAACTTATCATCTAAGCCCACTCTTATCCTTTTCAAATGAGTTTGTACCTACATAATTATTATTGATTATTTATATAGGTGAAACTTTATAATTAAATTAAGGAAAATGATAAAAAAGGAATACGATATCCTAATTAATGTCCGTTTCAAATATAATTCTAATAAAATAATGACAATGAAACGAACATATACATATTCTGTGTTTTATATTAGTTTTTCTATATAATTATGTATTTATTTATATTTATCAAATGGGCGCTAATAATAAGAAAATTTAATGTGAAAGGAATTTCACTCTACGTATCTTATAAAAAAATATATAGTAGATTGTAAGACGAAGGTACGAAGAGCCATACAGCCTAATCTGCTGTTGTAATATTTTGAAAAAAGAATCGAATTTATTATATTTTGAAATGGTACAGATATCGAAATATCAAATCATAGACAATAATAGATTAGGATGTTTTAATCTGTAGTGTTACCTGTAAGTACGTAAGCAGTAGGTACTAATGTACAAATTTAGTAGATATTTACAAATTGTATTTAGAATAGGTACTGAAGTTTTGTTTTTTGTAGGCATGTACTTAGTTTAGCATCTACAACGAAAGATGTTTCACACTAATTATAACTTTTTTTAACTAAACCTGATAGAGGTTTAGGCAAAGGTACCTAACACAAACATACCTACTGTCATGTGTACAGAAAATAGAGTCACTATATTATTAACATCTCTCGTTGTAAATGCTTAATATTTTTTTCAATATATTTTACTTTTAAATATTTTTTGTAATATACCTAAATTGAACAGTGTTTGAGACTTTCTATTATATTATTGAACGCGCATCGAACTTGCAACCATAAAAATGAGAAAATATATTCGCTACATTATCAAGATCAATAGTCGAAAATATAATCATGAAATTACGACCATAATTATATAGATATAACACCAAAAAAACTACGTAAAAATGTTTTTTGGTTCACGTAATTTAAAATGATTATATATAATAGTATTTTATATTTAAATTTGTAATAGGTACAATTTGAATAATACATGATAGATAAACATTATTATTAGAGGAATTGAAATTAATCATTGAAGGAAATTTCTGTTCACTTTGCAAAATAATTAGGTACTTATCAAGAAAGCTTTAATTTATAAACTTATTGTACTTTATTCATTATTTTTGTAATGAATTATTCATTCATTCACCAAAGGAAAATATTGTACAAAATCATCTGCTGCTCACCAATCTATTTCAGCCGCCAAGCTGCTTTGTAAACTGTTTAGGTTCTAGGTTATGGCAGTGAAATTACAGTATAAGAGGCTTAACATCTTAGTACAACAGAATGGTAACGCCTACATGATCCGTGTTGCAGTTCATGTACAACGGTTACCACTTACCATCAGGTGGATGGTCAACATGTTTACCATTCTAATTTCGTATCAAAATTTAGCAGTTTCGTAATAGATGATTATTTTTTACTATTTTTACTTTTTGCCATCAGCTTGTAATGTCAAGATGTGTAAAAAAGTGTAAAATTTGTGAATTAAGTGCCATTCCGCTGGAGTCTACTAGTCGATATAAATATGTACATAGTATAACATACTTGTAGCATATATAAAAATTGTATCCTATATTTATTATGATTTATTAAAAATATACCAACAAAATATGTATTTTATTTATCACTAACCATTACCTGCAACAAAATAAAATTTATAAAACAAAAGTAGGTATCCTAAGTTACTCGTCCGTGTGGATTTTAACTTTCTTTTATTTAAACAATATTAATAAAGTTTTTTGCGACTCTCCAAAATCGGTTCACCCGTTTCCTATGAACAAGCAGACAGAGAAACAGACATTTTTGTAATTATTTTTTACTGTATTATTACTATATGCTCTTAATTTGAAATGACAAACAGATATTTTTAAACACATCATTTTTTTACTCTTCGGGCCAAAAGGATGGTATTTTTATTGCTACACTAGCTGTACCCGTAGTTTCACCCGAAATTTATATTGAATTGAAATTTATAGTGTTATTCTGATGTATAAGCTATTATTGTAAAGTTTCATCAAAATCCGTTCAGTAGTTTTTGCATGAAAAAGCAATAAACATCCATCCACATCCGTACTTACATACATTTGCGTTTATAATAGAAAAAGAATAAAAATTTCTCATGTCATACCGTCTCGTAGGTACTGTAGATGTAATGCTAGCTCCCCGTCATATTTTATTTTCCAAATCCTCCAAGAAATAGGTTCAATAAAGTCTCACAAGCCGTTCTCAAGTTTTAGCGAGTCTATCAAACGTCATTTACTATAAATATATACAAAATAACGAAGTATATAATTATGATAATCAATAAAAATTACATAAAATAATTATCAAAATAAAAATTAGCAAGCGAATATCTAATTGACGTTTAAAACTATTTACTTTTCAGTCAATGTGTCATACGAGTGTTGTAAAGTTAAAAAGGTTTGAACCTTCTACGACGCTGGCAAACAAGCATACGACCCATTTAATAAACGATTACCGTACCCTATGGACGATATTCACCAGATATTGCCATCTCACACTCTCCCCATTAGAGAGGCTTACCCAAAACTGTGAAATATATAAATAAGTATACATATATACGTCTGAGTTAAACACAATAAGGTTTATGAAAGCCCATAATATGTCAAATGGCGGCTGAACTCAATATTTAAACAATTTCCTAGTGATCTCCTAAAACCTATTATTTAAATTTCTTAAGTGAATAATTCAATTTTTACTGTTGTAAATTATGCTTTTGAATAAGAATTTTAGAAAGGAGTATGGCACTAAAAAGTTTGGGAAACACTGTCCCTGATTTAAATATCGCTTGTAAGGACCACGTTTCGTCCGAGTTTTAACAGATTTTTTGTAATAAGACCGAATAATAAGGTATGAAAGCCCATAATATGTCAAATGGCGGCTGAACTCAATATTTAAACAATTTCCTAGTGACGAGATAGGACAGAAATTATGCTTTTGAATAAGGCGTAAGTTTGGGAAACTGTCCTATCTCGTCAACGACCTAGAGATGATCAATGCTGCCATCTATTGATAGGTAGCAAAATTAAAATATAGTAAATTTTAATTCTGTATCTTGCTAATAGATGGCAGCAGTTAAGATTATAACACTTTTTTCATAAAAATGTGTAGAAATAATGTTAAAGTTGAAGAACTAACAAGAAACTTGTATATTTTTTATGTTAAGGTATTTATTAGTGGCTAACACTTTAGTGTTGGATAACTTCCCAATTTTAATTCCCAAGTAGCTAGCGACCCCTATTCTTATTCGTTAACAACATAGATACGGTCACTACTGCCATCTATTGATAGGTAGCGAAATTAATATGTAGTAAAATTTTAATACACTTAAATTTCAATAGATGGCAGCAGTTGAGTCAAAGAATTCAACTGGTGCATTTTTTTATCTATTTAATAGTGGCTATCGAACACTAAAATAATTTTTCAATCAGAAGCAATAGTTTCTGACATCAGCGCATTCTAACAAACTTTCAGTTTTATAGGGGGTATGGGATTGTTAGTAATGTGAACTAATAACTCCATAGCTAGCAATGTCTTTATCAGGTTGACCCCCACGCGGTTCCCTCGGTATGTAATGTTGTCTTATCTGTGCCCCTAGTAACCATCGTGATGAATTGACGATAATCTGGTGAATGGACGGTAGAGAAAAAAATTATAATGTAAAAACTTGATGTTCATAAGCAGCTAAAATGTCCTACATGAATAAATGATTTTTTAATTTGAATTTGTTTTTGCATTTACCACGATGGGTTGACCTCATCTCATGCTCATCTTATCATCCTCCACTGGTGCCCCGCCAGCGTAAACAATAGCGTAGACGGCTGCACTAGTCCATTAGCATCCAATAAAAAAAAGTATGGACCGCTTTGAATATTGAGTGAGAATAACATACCATTACCATGCACGTTACTACACCAAAACTATTCGCCACAATAATAAATTAAATAAAAACAAAGACATAAAACAAATCAATTTATAAAAACTACAATAACAATAATTATTATATACAATATCGACGACGAACTTATTCTATACTAGTTGAGGCCGCGACTTCGTGCTCCTACAACTTGTTTTTTTTGTTCTTCTGTATATGCACATTATCTCCCATATAATGTCCACAGTCAGTTCAGTTAGTCACCTCTTCAGTACCATCATAGGTTTCTTTATACGAAATTCTTTTATCAGCTCCTGGAAATTCAAAATAAACGTTATAATAAACCTAAACTAAAATAATATGATGTTTTAACATCGAATTCAATCGATTTTTTATTTGTGTTGTTTGGATATGTTGAAATAAAACTAATCTTTATTCAAATAAATTTAATATAAACACTTTTGAATAGTCATATTTTTCTGTGGAGTTTCACATTATATTTTTATTATCTTTGTTTTGGGGTTTTCGTTACCCAACATGTTATCCTATTATATAGAACCTAATTATAACTAATCTAAAAAAAACTAATCGAAAATTAAATTAATTACCGACTGAGAGAGATCTAATCCCATATAAGATATCAAATTGCTTTTACAACTCACACTCTATTATCAAAGACTATACTTTCATACGTGTGTGTCTGTGTCAAATAGTGTGTGTAATATTTTTTTATTGATTTATTGTAATTTTTATACATAATTTTAATAAAAATATTAGCATTCTGCAATTTAATTTCGCCCCCATAAGATTGTATTTACCTGCCACCGAGGTATGTCTACAGAGACAATGAACTGGTTCTCATCCCCGGCGCCCTCCTGTTCATCCTGAGGTACCGGACACATGAATGGGAGACCATACTTCTCGTCTGTAAACATTTTTTTTTTATTTTAGAAAACGCAGCAGACAATTCAAAAAGCGCCATCTAGTCCCAAGCTAAGAGAGTTATGAGTCGTGTTATGAGTACTGGACAGCTGATAAAAATAATTGGTTACATTTTTTTGTAATTACATAAATAGCATACTAACAATTATATTAATGAATACAAATGTTTGTGTTCTGCGAGGTATCGAACCCGCGACCAAGTTAGATCAAGCCAAGCCAATGTTCTTTTATTATTCGAAACCAGAGACTCACCAAGTTGCACTGAGACCTTTCCATCCCTGATGAGGAACGAGACATGGTATATATTCTCTACAGTGCGGCTGAAGCTGCCAGGGTCCAGCACCACGTGGAAGTAGCTCAGAGGTTTCTGCCCACCCTCCCGGTACGACTTGAGAATGAACCGATTCACCCTGCTCACCATCTCTGAGCCTTCTTCAGTTTTCTCTAATCTGGAATAGGTCATCAGGTTTTTTTTATACTACAATGGTTTCAAACAAGCATACAGTTCATCTGATGGTAAAGGGTTACCGAAGCCTATGGACGCCTGAAACACCAGGGATGTCTCGTACGCGTTGTCGACCTTTAAGAAACCCTAATATACCCATTGAAATCCCATGAAAATCCCTGCTATAGTCTCTAGAGAAAATCTCGGCAGGTACTTCAAATTCAAATTCAAATTCAAAATATCTTTATTCATGTAGGTCTATTACAGACTCTTATGATATGTCAAATCTACCGTCAGTTCGGAATGATATAGAGATGAGAAGAACTGAAAAGAAACTCAGCTCGTATTTTTTTCAAATAATAGTGGAATATGTTTATGATAAATACAGTCATTAAAATTCAAATTTGGGAGCATAGAGTGACCACCAGCATATGCTATCGCAAAGAACAAAAAATTTGTTCAAAATCAAATCAAAATATTCAAGGCTTTCTTGGCAAAGAATTAGAGATAGAATTATTTATAAGTAAATTTAATATTGACATTGTATGCCTCACAGAACATTGGTTAAAACAGTCCAACATGGTGTTTCAGTTACCAAATTATGAAAAGAAAAGTGTATATTTTCTAAAGGAGATGTTATGTTTATGCATGAGTGGGTTACAACCACATAGAATGTGTTGTGGCGTTTCCTCTTTAGTTTGACAAAATCTGCAGATTTTTGTTGTGTATAAAAGCAAAGGAAGAGAAGGAACTAACTCACTTGTCAATCTTTTCTGGTGCCTTGAGTGCGGCTTGTTGCTGTCTCTCGATCCGCCGGCGCGGCTGACGCGGCCGCAACTCGGGCGGTGTCGGTGCGAAAGACCCGAACAGACTCGCAGAACATGGCACCTCCAGCGGCAGCGCGAACGACCACACCTCGGGGTTCTCGCGCTGAGAGTGTCATTATCACTTTATCAACGTTTCAAAAATTAAGTCGATACTAATATTATAAAGCTGAAGAGTTTGTTTGAACGCGATATTCTCAGGAACTACTGGTTCAAATGGCTACCTACCACCATATAGCATGAATAGTGGCGTTTCCTCTTCAGCTTGGTAAAATCTACATATTTTGTTGAGCACAGGCCTAAGTTCGCCGTGTTTATACAATTTGCAGTTTTTTACTATCTCAAACAATTTTTTACTATTTCCCACTGGTAATAAGACTTACAATGTGTTGTGCGAGCTCATGCCGGTCGTATGTGTTTACGTTTCCAGTGACGGCCTCTGAGCATCGCACGGCCAGGTCACTAGTGGCGCGGAGCACCCGCGAATCCAGATACGCCTCACCTGCAACATGTATGCAAAGTTAAATTGTTTTAATTTTAGACTACTCGAATGTTGTTGGTCGCAGCTGGCCTTTACAGCTTCACCAGACGATTGAAAAATTGTTTATTTATATATATTGATTCTTTCCCCTTAATTTTTTTGAAGGTATTTCCCACAGTGTTATATTTTTAATTCTACCACTCATTCGGAATTGTGTGTTGCTCTTTTGAATAGATATTATTTCAACAACTAAGAGGCATGATAATCAACATAGAAACCATCTCTATCATTACCACTTTGAATATGAATTACATTATACTTGCTTTTACCCATGGCTTCACACATTTTTTTTTAATAAAAAGTATGTTCATTGTAATACCTCCAAGAACATGTACAGAATTTCATAATGATCCGTTCAGTAGTTTTTGTGTGAAAGTATAATATTCATGCCACTTCCACATTTATAATATTAGTAAGACTGGATGAATCCACAATTCCCAACATATATTTACTCTTATAATCCTACAAGGAACTCAACATGCTACACACAAGACTTTGATTGCTGTTTATTTTTCAAATTAAAAGAATATTACCTGGATGCTTGACTCTTTCCTCAACGTCACCCTCAGCCAACAAGGCCTGTGCCTCCTTGACTGCATTTGCAGTCCGTTCCATACGTTCCACATTGGAGCTGCTGTCGTCTTCTGCAAACATAACAAGATACTAGTAATACAAAATATGAAGATAAAGAATTGGTTCCCCCTGTGGTGTAGCGGTTTAACCATTACCTGATGAAAGTGGGTTTGATTTTAGCACTATACAGAATTTTAAATTCAAGAGTATGATTGTATTGGTTTAAATGTATTTACAGAAAAAATAATTTATTTAAATATTTCTGTCAGTATAGTATATATCATATTAGATATATATCTATTAGTATAGTTTATTAATTTAGACTACAATCTACTAGCCTTTAAAAAAATCTGTCTATTTTGAAGGTAATGCAGATTCCCGCGTTTTTCTTTAAATGTATCAAATAGTCGAAAGAAAATTTAAGTAATTACTCAATGATTTTACTAATACATACCCAATGTTGATAAATCCTCTAGAAGAGCCCTATACCGAACTTTTCTGTTGTGGCTGCTCATACTTATTCGCGAATTTTGGGTTTCGTTAGCAGTAGACATTTTGGTCACTGATATCGTTATTTTTAAGCTAAACAATATACTCAATTTTGAAAAAGCGAGTTATGTTCTGTATCTTTGTCTTTTTTTTACAATAAGGCGTAGGTATATAATATTATTGATATAAACGACATAAAAACAATGTAATTGGAAAAAATTAAGAGCGAAAAGGGCAACTACTAATGACAATAATATTGACAAATAACTTGGATTTATAAGGACCCACTGACAATCGTGTCCTTACGTCATTTTGGCTTTGGAAGATGTGTACAATTTTGTGAATTTAACCACGAGTTTAAAGAAACTAGCAATGGAAAAAGTCTATACATCATTTTGGTAATTAGTCTACATACTCTTACACTCTTATGTAGTATATTCTTCGCTCTTACATATGATATTCTGTTCCTGCTTAGGAACTACCATTTAAAGCAAATACAGTAAAATAAAGTTTAAAAAAGTAACTGGAAATTGCTGTCAATCTTATGTAGGTAAATTAGCAATATATTTTAATATTAGTATTTTTTCTCGTTATTTCTTTTGTTATCCAATTTTAATATTCAGCGGGAAATAAATTAGTTATTTCCCGCTGTATATATTATAGTCTTAATCTCTCCCGCTATATTATAGTCTTTCAATTTGATAATTCGAACGTTTCTGTCATTGAGCAACTTAACACTTTTGCAACATAGAGGTGCGCGTATCATTGTATTATTGTCAATAAAGTTCTGTCAAAATTAAAAAAATACATTACAATATAAAAAAATTAATGTTAAGTCGTGTGTTTCTCTGATAAATTCTTCATAATCTAGCTGATAACACCCTCCATATCCCCCAATTTAATATTAACCGCGCAGTTTTCTTTTTAAGGGAAAATTTTCATGAAAGTTTAATTAGATGTGGTATCCCTGATCAAACGTGTTGCCAACTTTTTCTGATGACGATTTTGAATTTTCGACAAGGATGAAGTGCGCGGCAAATCGCGACATAAAAGACAAGACAATGCTTTTGATTTTAACAACCTAAGATATTTACAATAAATGTAAGATTTTTATACAAAATGAGCTATAATATACAGTAGATAGTAGTAATAAATTGTCATATACAACTTGTGTAGTGATCAGTGCTAGTGACGTTTCTAAAAAAATCTTAGGTTATATTTCGTTTTTGTAAGTATTTTTGTGAGTTAGATGGATTTAGCAGCTGCTCAGGAAGTCACAGAGCTGCTAAAACAATGGGAGGAGCAGCACACGTCGCCTCTTTACGATCCAATACAAACTTTGACCAGGTTAGTTTAATTGTTGTGTATTCAAAACTTCGTTTCTTTATAAATACAACTAAACAGTGCACATTGTACATTTCTCCACCGTATGTTACCGGTGAACTGATTAAATTATTGCATAATATATGAAATATATATGTAATTAAACGGATATTAAGTTTTCTAGTAATTTTATAATTCTCAGCATATTATCCAATAGCAATTTCAACAACAATTTCATATTCGTATCAGAACATAAAAAAATATCTTTTTAAGTAATTGGAATGAGAAACAGGCTGACAGCCTATGTGATGGTGAGTGGTAACCATCGCCTACATGAACAGCAGCATGGATATCACTTTATTATGTGACATCCATGATACTACTACTATAGTCTGTTTTTTAATTCTGGAGACTAAATCGACAGTAGTAAATGTCAAATTTTCGAAGAATGTTACCACCTACAGCGGGGTACCTGCGTGGTCTACCTGTGATATGATTTGTTTAATCGGAAACTTTTATTTTAACATATTAGTTTTAAATATTTAAATAACATTTCCACATCAAAATTTTAAAATTTATGTACATATACGAGTGTTTCCATTACTATTTTTTAATTATACAGCATAAAAATACATCAAACAGTAATTTTTACAGTATTTTTACAAACCAACATTTTCTTCTTTCAAACAGCTAAACATTTTAAATAGGAATTTGTTTTATAATATATGACACTATAAAAAGTAATTTGTTTTATAAAAAGTTAAAAAACAGTTAGTCTTTATTTTAGTGAAAAATAAGAAAATCTATTTTGATACAACAACCCTATATTTATTAATACCTACACTCCTCCTAGCAACATTGGAAATATCAAATTTGTCTCCAGGATTAAAAACAGACTATAATCATCATTGCCATTTCAGAGGACTACAACATGATTTCCTGTAATTTCACTGCCTTATCTCGCCCTGTAAACACATTTTTCAATCCAAAAAAGTGTACAAATAAATAAATCCAAGGTGCTTGACAACTGAAATAGGTGCAAAGGTACAGATGACTTTGTACAATAAAACACTTACATTAAAATATTATGGCAAACCACCACTAGAATTACTTGTTTTGTAATTAAGAAAATAAATTAAATCACGACATAGTTTAAAACAGTTGCAGTTGCTGTCTGTCTGTCCCTATGTATGCTTAAATCTTTAAAATTATGCAACGGATTTTGAATCGGATTTTTTTAAATACATAGAGTCATTCAAGAGGAAGGTTTATATATATTACATGTACACCTGTGTGAAGCTGGGATGAGTAGCTAATATAATATATTTGATTGTCACCAGGATAGCAGAAATAATAGAAACAGAAACAGAGAATTTTATGAAGAAGGATCCAGACCCATTTGACGAGAGGCACCCATCTCGAACAGACCCAGAATGTGCATTAGGACATGCACTCAAAGTCATGTTCAAAAAAGACAACTTTATGACTAAGGTATGAACTACACTACCATGATTGCTATCTATTAGTGATAGGTTTCTAATATCCAGATGTATAATTCTAAACTGACTTTTTTTTTAAATTGTGATTTAATTAAGATGTGCTTAATTAAATGACAAAAAAATTGAAAATTGACAATTCACACAGCGCCATCTAGTCCCAATTTAGTTAGCTAGAACTTGTGTTATGGGTACTAGATAACTGATCCAAATACATTGATATTTTTTTTCATAAATACATACATATTATATATATATAAAACACCCAGACCGATATAACCAATCATACTGTTGAATACAAATGTTTGTGCCCTGCAAGGAATCGAACACTCGACCATGATAGATAAGGCTATAAGGCTGTGTGCTAAACTACTAAACCACTCAGGCTGTCATAGGTAAATAGAAAAATAAAGTTATTCTCTATTGGTTTCAGTTAGTGAATGATTACGTGCGCGATACATACTACTCCCGTCAGAATATCACCGGCCGAGATGTCCTTAAGTTGAACATAGCCGCCTGCCGGCTCACGCTTGACCTGATGCCAGGCCTCGAGATGAGCGTCGTCTTCCAGGTATAATAATTACAATCTCAGCACAATTCAAACAGCGCCATCTAGACCAAAGTTAAGCTAGCTAAAACTTCTGTTATGGGTATGAGATAACTGATACAAATACATAGATATATTTTCATAAATACATACATATTATACATAGAAAACACCCAGACGGATACAAACAGTTACACTCATGTTCATCAATGTTCGAAACCACTACCATCATAAGTAAGGCAGTGTGCTAAACCGCTAGACCACTGAGGTATGATTCACCTTTTATTCTCAGAAAGCCATGTGGATATTTTACTACAATAAAAGTCCTTTGTTACCCGTATTTCAAGTTGAAGAGGAAACGCCACTACATGGTTATACCCCACTCATGCATAAACGTAATATCTCCTTAGGAAAGTATACGATCTATCCTGAGGAGATAAAAATAATTGCTCCTAAGAATATTTTTCAATTCTTATCTGTGACGGGTCTAGGCAGCGAACTTTGAAAAAAGGCGAGCACAATAGATCTATGCAGGTCGCAGTGCTACAGGTCTTAGCACCTGACAATAATCCAAAACCGCCAATAAAGGAGGGAAAGGGAATTGTTAGTAATGTGGATTGATGATCTTATTCCTAGCAATGTACCATGTTAGGTTGACTTCCACGCGGTTCGTGGAAACCATCATGATAAATTCTTGGTGAATTTGTCACCATGGGCTAACTGCCCTGACCTCATGCGCATCTTATCAATATCATTCACTGGTGCCCGCCAGCGGGAGTACATTGTTATGTATAGAAAAAACACCCCAATAAAAAAATACACGTATTTCAGAAAGAAAAATTTGAATTTGATTTTAATTTCAGGACAATGAAGCACTAATTCATCGACTAGTTAATTGGGCGAGTAACTCTCCCGAGCCGCTGCAGAGTTATGCAACTGGACTGCTGGCTGCGGCTATGGAGGTGCAGGAAATAGCCACAAATTTTAGGTGAGTCATCAGCACACTGCAGTCCACTGCTGGACATATGCTTCTCCCAAGGCACGCCACTGGGCACGATCATCAACCCTTCTCTTTCAGTTATTACCCACAACCTAAGGTATATCCTCGTTCCACGTAGCTACGGGGCGTACGCTACGTTTGCCAACATTTTTACCGCCATATAAAATGAACTCATTTGTATTGTAAACAGTTTTATTATGGGTATTTTATTTTACTCGTATGACTGTCCTGTCTCCATAATGGTTTTATTCATCGTTGTCAAAGATTAATTTATATATTTTATCTACTTGATGTCATTTTGCGGAATTCCATTTATTTTAATAAAAAAAAGTTTAATTCCACGCGGCGAAGTCCCATGTGGGTAACAGCTAGTGATGTATAATAATGTAACAACTATTTCAGGGATCTGAATGCAATGTTAGTACCACTAATGCTAAGGAGGCTACACGGACTGAGAAACAAACGACAAGAAGATAAGGTAAACACAAACAAACATTTATTTCAATTCAATTCAATTCAAAGTATCTTTCACGGTTGTATGTGAAGTATATTGAGTGGTATATTTTGTCACCACTATAGCGTGTTCGGGGTGTGGTGTAGGTGAGTTCACTAACGAGGAGTCTTTATCACGGATGTAATACGTTATTCTTATATTACATTAAATACAAGACTGACTGTAGACTTATAATTATGTTGTTTTTTTTTCTTTATATTTGATGTACAGATTAATTTATGTAATTATTCTTTCTGTGAGAGGAACAATAAAGTTTTCATTTAATTTCATTTATTATAAACTTTTCTATTTTATTCGCAGACAAATCAAAATTCAGTAACGCCGCCTAACCAGACGAGGCACTTCGCGAGATTCGACAAGAAACGGAATAATGACCTCAAGTGCAACGGACCCACGGTCGATAGTAAAGGTAAGTGTAGTGGTTTTTTTATAAATTGGAATGGCTGACAAGCTGATGACCAGCATGATGGTATGTGATAACCGTGACGGTCATCATACACATGATATAAATACCATCCTGACTATCTAGATCAGGAGTGAGCAACTTGCGGCCCGTTGACCATGTATATGCGGCCCGCCAGGTATTTTTATGAATAAATTTATTTTTTCTTAAGAGGCCTATTACAAAATGATGCCGCTCAACTTTAGGTTTAATCGCATGGATTTACGCACACACACAGTAATACACGCACACAGACGCAAATAACCGTGTAGCGCAATCGGTGTGGATTTAGTATGAATCATTTTGATCCTTGTAATATTTTAATTAATAATGTGATATGTTTCTACTTAACTGAGTAACATAAACTACTTATTGGATTTTTTTAAATAACGTGATTTATCTTAATTATCAAAGTGCTAATAATGGCCATATTTTTTTATTATATTATTCCTAGAGGGTTGATGTCAGGATGCTGGCCGATTGTACAACTAAAAGCCAAAACCTTAAGTAATATGAGTAACAAATAATTGGGATAAGGACAGGAAGATGAAATTACTATAACATAAATTTACTAATTAATTCTTCTTACATATTAATTCAGTTTATTTATTAATAGATACAATATAATTTATTATAAGAGTCGGATACATTATTGCCATATTCACTTGTTCTAAATATTATACTTAGCAAATAATTATTTTATTTATATATAATAGTTGTGTTTTCAAGGCTTTGTTTTGATTTAAAGGTCCCATCCTTATATGTATATTAGGTGTGTCCGCGACTTCGTCAGCGTGGTATAATGAAATTGACCAAATAAAGGAAATATATTTAGATTATAACCTAAAAAAGTTTCTTTGTTTCAATTAAACAATGACGATACTTTTATACAACCTTTCATCTCCGCTTTTAATCCCTTACAATACTTTTTTCGCACTATAAAGTAGTCTATGACCTTTCTCAGGGTATACTATCTGTGTATATGTATATCTATCTATATAGACTACCTGTGTATATATATGGTAGTGAATTTACAAGGTACAGGGGAATAACACCCGAGTTTTCAGGAATGGCAACGCATGAGAGAAACAATGTGCTGATATGAACATGGCAGGTACTGCTCATGTATATAGGCGACGGTTACCCCTTTCCATCAGGAGAGCCGTCAGCTTGTTTGCCATTCTAAGTTGTAAAAAAAGCTTCAACTGCTATCATTGCTGTTCCTGCATCATTGACGTCGCCGCATGATATTGGCTGATATTGCAGCTTCTCGTTCTTGGTTGGCCGATTCTTGATTCTTCATAAATAATTAATTGTTAATGTCAAACCTTTTTATAAATGATTATAAGACGCCTCATTGATTATATGTAATGAAATCACCATGAGCTATAGAGATTTTGGACAGAACCTTAAAAGACCTTAGAAACACGTCTGCTCTCATTGGCGGGATTACTTTTATACTTTTGCTGGAGATTTCTGAAAGACTCTCTGTGTCATTAACATCGTCTCCCTTATGGACTTTAATTGAAAGTTTAAAACTACTGACAAATTTGAGAGCTCATTTTTATGGAAGCACAGATAGTGATTTCCCACACTAAATGCTCAAACTTGAGGAAGGAATTTCTCAAAAGCATGATCCAGTCATGAAATTTAAGCCCGCCGAACATGTGCAATGGCGTCCCATTGGATATATTGCTTACTAAAGAATTGAAAGACAATTTAATTGTAGACCATTATAACCGGTACGTTAGCTGGGCAACCAGCTTATATACCAAGAATACCGATGATTCCAACTGATCTGTCAATACCATTTTAACGGCTTCAATTTCCGGTTAAAATATCATCTACACATGTAATAGATCTATGTATGTTTTGATCTTAAAAAACTACGCAGATTTTGATTCGTTGTTATTTAATAGACAGAATAGATAGACTCAAGAGGAAGGTTTATATATAACGTCCCAATACTGTACACGGATCTTTAAACGCGCGATAACCTATATATCCCATATTCACGCGGGCGAAGCCGCGAGCTAAAAGCTAGTCTCTAAATAAAAACATTTATAATGTTGTTGACTTTTCACCCAAACACGCATAATTATTTGACATAACTGTACAGTAATGAAAGTCCAACGAGTATAATAACAGAATAGCTGCAATTTAGAAATATCTGTATTGTGTAAAATAAAATAAAATTGGATAAAATATCTCTAAACATTAAGGAATATAATTTATATATAATTTGGTAATTTATTTACAATCCACATTGCATACTAGATGATATACACTATATAACACAAGACAAATGTACGTAAAAATAATAATGGTATTTTTATAAACAATAACCCTATTTTAATTTAGAAAATAACTACAAAATAAACATAGAGTAAAATTGGTTTACATTTTCTTACATTTTTCTCTCAGATAAGCGTTATTTTTAAAAATACTAAAATGTTCTCTTTTTTAATTTTAACAATTAATTGCCATTAGTGTGACGAAATACCATGCTCTTGTGCTTTTCATAGTCCAGCAGGGTAGGTAGGTTTATTTATAGCATAACTGTACTTTTGTCTTGGCATGCTAAAATAAATATTATATATATATTTAACAACAACTTTAAATTAATATTCGTAGAAATAAGTATATATTAGCAAAATTAATTAAATATTACTTAAATTATCAAAATGGTTTAGTCGCTCTATACTAATGTTCACTGACGAATGTCTTATCTTAGCGGTGTTGTAAAAAATGGCATAGGTCCTACCTCGACGAGCGCTAGCGCAGCACTGGGAATTTACTTTTGGCGCAACGGAATTTATACAACTTTAAATTATTATTATTGTTTATTTTTTTCTTAGAAACTTATATTTTTTTTTCATATTTCTAATTTACAAGTATATTAACTTTATTATTATGTTTTTTTTATGCAAAAATTTCGTTGTATTTATGAGAAAATTAGAAATGATTATGGCAAAGTTTTGTTGAAATTTCGGGTTTAATTATGATCAATTTTTTAGATATTTAAGTTGAAAATGAAAAAAAGGACGATGCTGTCTCAATTTATAAAGTAATTATCAAGTTTTAGTAAAGATATCATATCAATTTATGTTTGTTTATTAATGAACGACGACCCCAAACTTCTGTCATTTAGCGTTTTTGAATAAACTATTTTAGAAATTAGGAAGACTAACAAAGAGAAAATTAACATTTCAAAGATGTTGTTTTTAAGATTAGATATCTATCTATATAATTCAGGAATCAAAATGTATATCCGACTCTTAATTTCTTAGAACCAGAACCCCAAAGACACTGCTTTTAGGCCAAAAAATGTGAAAGGCCTCTTAATTTTTATTAATTAAGAAAAAAGCAATACAATAGTAGTATATACTAAACAGAAACATTTTTTTGTGACGGGTTACTCACTTGTCGCCGACTTCTAATATGCAATACGAACGTTTACATTAAAATTTGTATAGAAAATATTTTTTTTATTTGAATGTTTATAATAAATAAAGTTTTGTACATTATTAATAGATACCACTTTATGTGCGACCCGCTAAAACAATTTGAATTGGCCCGTTGATTAAAAAGGTTGCTGACGCCTGATCTAGATAAATAGCGATCCTGCACCGTGCGTTTTTCCTTAAACTTTTTGTCACGCACAGCACCACATTGTGGAATCATATAGCAATGGTATTTCCGAACTGATACGATATTGAAACCTTCAAGAAAAGATATTCCTTCTTAAAAGGCCGGCAACGCACTTGCAATTCGCCTGCTGTTGCGGGTGCTCTTGGGCGGCGTAATGACTTACCATCAGGTGAGCCGCAAGATCGCTTCTCCCTTTTCTTATTAATATTAAAGCTTGTCTTTATTTCAGAACATGAAACGGAGGACAGTGGAGGCGGGTGCGAGATGGTAGTGGACGAGACTCCACCAGCCACCACTCCTACGCCCAGAGACCCAGAAACACCAGTCAAGACCTACAACCACAGTATGTTAAAGTTTATTTTTTTTATTACCACGTCGGTAAACAAGCGTAAGGTCCATCTGATGGTAACCGCTTACCATAGCCTATAGATGCTTGAAATTGCACCATATACCACACCCCTGGTGGGTGTGGTATGTGGTGAAACGCCCAACTCGTGTCACAATGTTAGTTACCATACTTCAACGAAACGGCTTGACAGATTTTTATGAAATTTTATACCCATCTTCACTAGGTCTGAGAATCACCTACTATCTATTTTTCATAGCCCTAGTGATAAGCACGGATGGTAGGTAGAGTTATTTAAGATCATTGACCTCAAACATTGATGTTAATATAGATATATGTTCTATCGCGAACCTTTATTTTTAATAGAGATTTCAATATATATGGCAAAACAACGTTAGCGTGGTCAGTAGTATCAGTGGCACTCAATGAGGAAATAGCCATTATTATTGCTAAAAGTTGCATATAGATGGCGTGATTGGTATCGATGGAATTCTTCATAGTTTTGCAAACGTTTTAAAAAACAAAACTGTGTTTTCAAAATAGTTTAATCCATTTTTAAAAAAATATATATACATGTTAAAATGAAATAATGCGTTTAGAAAAGTAATTTTCATATATTTACTCATTTTGTTATTTTCCAGTACTTAATTACACTTTAATCAGTGCTAATACGGGGCTCAATGTTTTCAAAATGCTTTCATAGATGGCATTGTTGTCATTTGTATCGGCCTAATTAAATGTCTTTTTTATATTTTCCAATAATAAGCACTTAATATATTATTATTGTAAATTAAACATATAAAAAAAGTTTAAGTACATTAAAAATAGCCGAACAAGCAAATAATACTATTTCCAATAATACTTATGTATGAAGTGTTGTCATATTAAAAATAAATACATGTATTATCGATTTTTTTAATAATCGATAACAGGATTTTATTACAGCGCATTATTCGATGATGCTTTTAATGAGTCGTTGTGAACAGTAAATTTTCATTATTTTGTATTAAGTATAGCAGTATTCCGTTTCAAAGAACGGAATATAGTAGTACATTATTAGTGTCGTTGGTTATTTACATTTGTACTGAAAAATCGATTACATAATAATTTAAAATATCGAGTACGAATCGTAGCTGTCTTCGAATACTGGCAACTGGTAAGATTAAAATAGTTTTAAAAAAGAGAGAAATCGACCCTAACTCGAATACCATAAAGTTTATTTTCTTTTCTCATTAATATCATAGCAGTTTGTTTTTAACTTGCGTATGACTCTGTGGTATGATGTTTAACGTGTATTGTTATTGTACGGTGCATACATTTCAAAAATTATATTTTAATGTAGTTACATACATTTCTTTCATACATGTCAAAAATATCTTTTAATGTAGGTACATACATTTATTTCATACATTTCATACATTTCAAAAATGAACTTTTTATGTAGGTACATACATTGTTTTCATACATCTCATACATTTCAAAAATTATATTTTAATGTACATACATTTCTTTCATACATTTCATACATTTCAAAAATGAACTTTTTATGTAGGTACATACATTTCTTTCCTACATCTCATACATTTCAAAAATTATATTTTAATGTAGGTACATACATTTCTTTCATACATTTCATACATGTCAAAAATTATCTTTTAATGTAGGTACATACATTTCTTTCATACATTTCATACATTTCAAAAATGAACTTTTTATGTAGGTACACAAACATTGTTTTCATACATCTCATACATTTCAAAAATTATATTTTAATGTAGGTACATACATTTCTTTCATACATTTCAAAAATGAACTTTTTATGTAGGTACATACATTTCTTTCATACATTTCATACATGTCAAAAATTATCTTTTAATGTAGGTCCTTACATTTCATACATTTCAAAAATTTCATACAATACATTTCTTTCATACATTTCAAAAATTATCTTTTAATGTAGGTGCATACATTTCACACATTTCAAAAATTTCATACAATACGTTTCTTTCATACATTTCAAAAAGTATTTTTTAATGTAGACATAACACCCCATGTCAGACCCCTTATATTTGGAAGAAACTTAAAAATAATGCCAAAAATATTAGATGAATATATTTTTAATACGAATATTGTTTTATTTTTGTTCATCAACTTTATCCCTCACTAACAATACTAGTAGTAGTACATAACCTGGTTTATACCGCTAAAGATATTGAAAGATATACGAGTAATTCAGAATGTTATCAAGTTCAAAATAAGCACACATTACTTGCTTAGATAACAGAGTAATATTACTAGTAATAAAAACATTTGTAATACCCATATGTATACTACGTATGTATAGTAAGTACTTACGCTGCGGCGCCGTGAGACTCGTCTAAGTACTTCATCTACTCATCTACGCGCGGTAACCGCGCCGACCGACCAATAGGATAGCGCCTCTCGTGTTTCCAGAAAGTTCGCGACTAACGGACGATATAGTAGTAAGGCAATGAGTGTCCCAGTGATATCATTATAATATTTTCTCGTTAAATTTTATTGTAATATACACAATTTCGCACTAAATAACGTGTTACCCCGTTACACATTTCTAATAATGAAAAACCTAGACCGACCCTGTTCACTTAATCTTACAAGATCTGACTTTAAAAATTACGATATCCTCATATAGCCTTTCATTTCCCCTTTCAATACTTTTTCGCATTCAAAAGTAGCCTTTCTCAGGGTCTACATTATCTGTCTACCAAATTTCAATTAAATCAGTTCAGTAGTTTTGGCGTGAAAGCGAGACAAACAGACAGACTGAGTTACTTTAGCATTTATAATATTTGTAAGAATATCGCTATTAAAAATAGGGGTTGGTGAAAGACAAAATTTAGCGTGTATGTATTTTCAATGTAACATTATAAATAAATAAACAAATGTCCATAATACAAAAAAATATTTTTTCGGGGTAGGCCACCCTATGACTTAGCCTATAAAAAATAGATAACAACCCTACCTCAGGGGAAGTATACATATCAAATTTCATCAAAATGTGGTGAAATATGGCAACAAGCACTGTGATACAAAATTTATATATAAGATATAGCGGAATTCTCATTAGGTAAAAGAGGGGTACATCGTAGAATACATGAGGTATATACCAGTAAATTAATTGTAGCTAAAATCAGTCTCATACATATAACGATTGAAATAAAAAATCATAGCCCGATTTTGATACGTACGTGTTAGTATAAACGTATCAAAATCAGGCTATCTATTTTTACAACATATCAAAAAAAATAGGCATAGAATGTAAAATAAACCATAACACAATAGGTATATACATTGGTAAAAGCCATATCTGCAGAGTGTTAACGATATTATACCTACACATTTACATTGAATCTTGAATCGTCCCTAATAGGTACACGATACAGTTACCTACATATCTATTATATACATATCTTTGCAAAACAGATGTCATGTAGACTGAATTCACTGCCATCTATTTTCATGCTTTGTTACTAAGATAGTAATCCGAACTGCTTCATTCTAGCGACATCTAGCGGCTACGGTGGCGAAATAAAATAGCAAGAATAGCCCGAGTTAGGAAGGAACCATTTTCTTGTATGGGATGGGGTATCTGTATGTAATATTATGTTATCTGTGGTAGTATATAAAAAAAGGTGAGACATCAGCTTGTTTGTCATTATAGTTAGTTAATAAACATCTGGTGGTGATGCAGGTATGACGGCGTCCCCCCCGGAGCCCCCCTCGGGGATGATGTCGCCCCCCCCGCGGCCGCCGCCCCCCGCCGCCGAGCCCCCGCCCCCACACGACTCCTCTAACTCCAGCTGGCTCGAGATGGAGACATATGTTATCGGTATGTAGATTTTTTTTATTATTGTAACAAAAAATAGAAACAAATATACTTAATTTTTTTGTACAAATATATATGTATAAACTTACATTAATGAGCAAGAGGAAGAGGTAATATTGGACGGTCGTATCGCTGCAACTGAATAGCTGTTTCTTCCAGGCAAGCTTAGGAAGCAGGAGCGATTAGACTTGTCTGGTATATAGTCCATTCAATATTTTGAAAATTAACGTAAAATCATAGCATGAATGATGTGGATGTGATTGGAGTATGTAAATTACTTTCTGTGGATTAAAAAAAAAGTATGAAATATGTAAGTTTATACAAGCTTGTTGAGCTTTTTAAAATATTATCGTATAGTATAATTGATAGGTGAAGTTAAGCTAACATTTTGGTTCTTCACTATCGAAAGCAGATACATTTTTGTGGACCCTTATTTACCCTTATTTTCGCCGTCCCTTAGGACCCCCTGGACCCCAGGGGGTCCTAAGGGACCTGTACTTTGAGAACTAAGGGTTTATATGAATGTTACAGGCAACATACAAATCCATCCACCGACGAGCGCCACGAAGCAGATGTTAATACTGCGGTACCTGACGCCTATGGGCGAATACCAAGAGGTTTGTAATTTTTTTATGTAATTCTAATGACAAATAAACTGACGGCCCACCTGATGGAAATTGGCAATCGTCTGACTGACACGGAGTTTTGTGGATGATAATGGAATGGTGCACCCGCCTGCGCTGACGGTTTACGCTGGCGGGGCACCAGTGGAGGATGATAAGATGAGCAAGAGGTCAGGTCAGTTAGCCCATCGTGACAAATTCACCAGAAATTTAACACAATGGTTTCCAGGGGGAACCGCGTGGAGGTCGACCTGACATGGTACATTGCTAGCAATGGGATTATCAATCCACATTACTAACAATCCCCTTCCCCCACTGACACGGATTATCACCACCCTAGGGAGGTGAAGGTTGGGACCTCGGGGGCCCCCTTTGCTCTAGTATGGACTCCGATGGCGACGACCCCTGGGCTGAAATCTTTTATTAGACAGATATCTAGTAGTAGTATATTTAGAAATTTTGGTAACGGGATTGATCCTTTTAATAGGCAGATTAGTAGTGGTATTTAGAATTTTAAAACTTAGCCTAACTTAAGGCTAACCTAAGGACTAATGCCATACTTAATTATTGTTTTTTTTTTTGTTATTTTTTTAATGTTGTTTTTTCGTTTTTTATTGTAATATATATAATACCGGTATATAATAGCTGTCCCTGCTTCGCACGAATGCATTTCATACATATTCTTCTCCTTGAATCACTCTATCTATTGGTAAAACCTGCACTAGTAGCAGGCAGCACTAATAAAAATAAAATTATGACAATTAATATAAATATGAGATTTATTACTGTATTGTTGCAGTTCCTATCGCACGTGTTCGAACAGAACGCACTGGGACTGATACTAGGGTATCTGAACGTGCGCGAGTCGAGGGACTCGCGGCTGGCGTTCGAGGCGCTCAAGTACCTCGCCGCATTGCTCTGCCACAAGAAATTCTCCATAGACTTCATCAACATGGGTGGACTGCAGGTAAGCAACGCCTAAAGTTGTAAAAAAAACCTGTTAGCTACCGTTATTTAACATTTATGGTTAGCTACGGATAAAATGCGGTTATTAACGGTTAGTTGTTCGATAATGTCAAAGAAAGAGATACGATGAAACACCTACATCCTCTGGGATTGTATATGTGTTCAATAAAATAGTCGAGTCAGGTGTAAAACCTAGAATTGAGAAGGGCATGTAAAGATTAATTAAAATCTATTGTAAAATTTCAAAAATGGATATTTTCAGTAGTTTTTGTGTGAGTAACAAACATCCATCTAACTATCCACACTTACAAAGTTCCGCATTTGAAAAAAAATATATTAAATTTACTATCACTAGTCTAGTACCTATAACACAAGCTCTGCTTACCTCGGAACTAGATGGCGCTGTGTGTATTGACTTGATACTATGATCATTATACAGAAGTTCCTGGAGGTGCCCCGTCCGTCGGTGGCTGCTACGGGCGTGTCTATCTGTCTGTACTACCTGGCCTACTGCGAGGACGCTATGGAGAGGGTGTGTCTACTACCGCGGAGGACTCTCGCAGACCTAGTCATGTAATTATAACAATTATTTATTTATTTGTTGTAATATAAAGTATACAATTTCTTTCTTTTTAAATACAAAGAGGGTGGAAAACAAGCATACAGCCCATTTGATGGTGAATGGTTCCCATAGCCTATGGACACCAAAGACATCTATTGAAAAGTGCAACACACACATTTCTTGTTCATTCTTCTTGTGATTAGTCTGTGTTCTGAATTAGTGGTACGATAAAAAATATGTCTATTCAAAAGTGCTTGTATTGAGTTTAATTGAATAAAGTATATTTCTATTTTATTCTAAGAAATGAAGGGAGATATAATAACTGGGCGTTCCGGTGTTGGAAGTGGTTGAAGGTGATTCTTATCATATTTTTTTGACTATATAATAATGTGTATTAGGTATGCCCTATGGCTGCTGGAGTGCTCCCATGACTCCGGCCGGTGCCACGCGACCATGTTCTTCGGGCTGTCCTTCCAGTTCAGAGTTATACTCGAAGAGTTCGATAACCAGGTCAGTATTGAAGACATATGATGATATATCGAAATGAACATTTACAAATTTGCTTCTCTTTCTGAGATTGGGCTGTGTTTGTATGAGGTGATAAAAGCAATTTGATAAATAGATCCCTCTTAGTTGATAATTATTTAATTTTTGTTTAGTATTTTTAAGATTTGCTATAATTTGGTTCCATATAAGGGGTTTGACATGATTAGTCGATTAGAGATAGAGATTAGATTTGACACGAAGAAAGACTTCAAAATAAATTTAGATAACAAAAAAAGGTCAGTATTGATATTTCCACTACTTTATTTCTAAGGGATGATTATGGAATGATAGCACATTGTATTTACTCACTGTCATGCGTCTAAATGTATTTATATATTTTATGAATGGTTATAGAATAAGCTGTAATAGACTCGCCTGCGGTAACGGTTTACGCTGGCGGGGTACCAGTGGAGAATGACAAGATGAGGGGGACCGCGTGGTGGTCGAAAAATTTACTTATCTAGACTATGAGGGACATAACAATATCATCCCTAGTCTACTTCATCCACCCGACAGTAACCGTCTATATAGAACTATTCATAAAAAACTGTAATGTTCTTCAGGATGGCCTGCGGAAGCTGTACAACTTGGTGTCGATGCTGCCGATCCTGGGCGGCCAGGATGACGAGGTGCCAGTCTCCGAAGATGCGACCTGCGCCGCCAGACAAATCGTTAGACATGTGGCTGTCGCACTCAAACGGTAATAATGTAGCATATTATATATGTAGCACCACTGGGCGACTACTAGAACTAAACAATGTAATGTATAAGCTCTTGATTACGTAAATAAATAAAATAATAATATAACAATCCACATAACAAGCTTATATGTGATTTAATTGCAGATATTCAGAAGCACATTTGAGATTACGAGCGGCGCAAGTTGCTCGGCAACAAGGGGACAACGTGCCTGAACCGCCTTCATACAAGGTATGTAACATATAGCAACATATATTATGTTATTAATATAACCAACGAAATCTCGAGGGAAACCAGTACTGTGCTAAACTGGTCTAATTTAGCACTCAACCAGACGGTAACGCACGTAACAAGAAATATGAAATAAGGAATGAGATACATAATAATAGTAACATATTACGCACTGAAGTACATTATAAAAGAAATCTTAAAGACAAAAGGCGGACTTATCGCCGCCCTTAGACCGATACATACAATCGTATTCAGGAAATCAAATGTTTGTATTGTGCGAGGAATTGAACCCATGACCATAGGAAGTGAAGTGCTGTGCTAAACCGCTAGACCACAGAGACAGGCTATATGACGTATATGTGACATTGCAGGCATCCAAGTCATCCCCCGAAGAGATACAAGAGCAAATCGAGTTGCTGCAGAGCGTGGCGTGGTCGCGGTGGGCGCCCGTGGACGAGCTCATGGAGCTCGGCGGCATCTCGCTGCTGCTGCAGGTCGTCGGGCTCGCCTACGAGTGGAACTTCAACGGCAGGTCCAAATTATAATATCACTAGTTCACACCCCGACACTTTGCATCCATGGTTTGTTGGTCAGGAAAATAGGCTGTGATTTAGGAGGACGTTCCCGGCATACTATAAGTAGTTTTTTAATAGATGTTATCTCGTTGCTGCTACAAGTCGTAGGGCTCGACCGAGTGGAACTTCAATAGCAGGTCCAAATTATATTGTTATAAGTTCATATCCCAATACTTTGTTCACATAATTTAATGGTCAGAAAAATAGGTGGCTCCGATTTTTGAGGACGTTCCCAACTTTGCACTTTATCTAATTTTTATTGGTGGTAGTTGGATGCTGCTGCAGGGGTTTTTTTTTTTTTTGTGGATGATAATGGAATGGAGCCGCCGCCTGCGTTATCGGTTTACGCAGGCGGGGCACCAGTAATAAGATGAGCATGAGGTCATGTCACACAGATGGTTTCCAGGGGGAACCGCGTGGAGGTTTGTCGACATGGTACATTGCTAGCAATGGGGTTATCAATCCACATTACTAACAATCACCTTCCACCCCTGCTGCAGTTATTTTATCGGCGGCACTGTTCAATTGCAGGTTCAAATTATAATATCACTAGTTCATGTCCCGACAGTTTGTTTCCGTAATTTGTCGATCGAGATAATACGTGGCTCCGTTTTCGAAGGAAGTTCCCGGTTCAAATTTCATCTAGTTTTTAGTTTAGTTTAGTTTTTCGTGTTACTCCTCTCAACAGGTAAATACCTTTTTCATACCCCTAAGTGATAAGGGTTGTCCACGTTTTTCAAATGCATGCAATTTTTTTTTTAAATGTTAGTATCCGTAACTTTTTTTTTTTTGATGATTTTTTTTATAATGTTGCTTTAAAAATATATTCTACCATCAACCCCTATTTTTCAATATCGATTTTAATTTATATGGCAAAACAACATTTACGGGGACAGCTAGTAATGTATATTATAGACGTAAGTTTAAATAATATCTGTGATAACGCAAAGGTTCATCATGGTGAACGTGTAATATGCGTTTAGGTCGGAGACGGTCCGGTCAGCGCTGGACGTGGTGTCGGTGTGCTGCGTGGCGCCGCGCGCGCAGCTTCTACTCACTGAGAAGCTGGACATGAGGGATGCTGAGCTCACCACCGGCGTCAATATCGTCCTAGGTATACATTTTTATAATCAAACATTATTAGAAACAATCACAACCTATACTGTATGCGCTGTAGTATGGTGCGACTAGCAGTTACTAATTTGACATTTATCAATCGCTACATTTAAATTAATACAGTTATTAATGATTTAATATATTATGAATGTGGTACAGCTGAAATACTAAGTCATAATTTATAAGTCACGGTAACTTGAGTGAAACGAAACGTTAATGAAACTGTTACCTGCATCCTGCTACAGCGCACATAGTATATATACATATATAGGGTTAGTTGGAAAGGGTATTCTAAGCCCCAAGGAAATAATAATATTTATTTATTGGAACTCAAACATAATATTTTACAAATTAGGTAGTATAGAGTAGGGTATATATTAGTAAATAATACTGTGTCGTGGCCCTTAACGCCCACCTCCTTAAGAGAGAGGTCCAGTAGTTCATAAAACTAATTTATATAATAAAAAAACCCCCAAGGATTTACATTTTTTTTTATAGTTAAACTGTACTTGAAACAATTGCAACTCTAAATATACAGGGTCAATCGGAAAGTATATACTAAGGCGCAAGGATATGAAAGTACCCATGGTATCACGAACGACTTTTATTCAACAGCTTTCCCTGAAACTATATAATTTTCTAGAGAAAAATCGGTTCAGAGTTCTTATATATCAAATTAAAATATCATTTATTCATATAGTTAAAAAAAAAGAACTACATGATTTTTTCAACAACCAGTTTATGTAAATTCATATTTTTTCATAACACAGAAAATATTCATTCATTATTATACATCCATTATACATATACAGATTCAATTAACACGTGAAACTTAGGAAAAACAATACAAGACCATAATCCGACCTGCTGTCTAGTATGGATCAGTGCTGGCTCATAGATCAGTGTGGATTAATCACTTTAGGAGCAAAACACTGATTTTCAGCTATCACTACGAGCGGATTTCATCTTTATATATAAAAATTACGTGTCACGTTGTTAGTCCGCAATGGGCTCCTAAACTACTGAACCGATTGCAAATTTAATTTGCACATTGTGTGCAATTTGATCCAACATGAAAGATAGGATAACTTACATCTCAATGTATAGTCGCAATATTATTTTATTCAAGAACCTTAGCCACAGCAACGCGTGGCCGGGTCTGCTAGCATACTATAGGTACTAAACCGACAGAGATACTTATGTCATACTTCCGGTTTTTCGAGAGGGGCATAAGATGGCGGACTATGAGCAGCGCCTCAGATAGAAAGGCGTTATACGAGCAGACCGCGAATGGAACGGACGAGTTATGTGCGTGTGTCTAATCCTTAATAATATTATAAATGCAAAAGTAACTTTGTCTCTGGCGACAACAATACAATAATACAAAATGGTTCATAGCTCAAATCATTATTTAATTTGAGCTAAGAACTTGTTTATCCATAATCAATGGTATTGGTCTAAATCAGTGATTCCCAAAGTGATAGAGCACTTTGGTAATCACTGATTCGGTCTGATCGACCCCCAGAGATCTATGACAAATTGCAAGAGGTCTACGACAGTGGTCATCTTGTTGTTTTTAATACTAAACTTTACTACAGTTAGAAATTTACAAAAAATCTATACCAGGTTAGAATGGGGGGGTCTACCCAAAACTGAAAATTATGATAAGGGTTCTACGATACAAAAAAGTTAGGGAACCTCTGGCCTAAATATTCTGTTCAACAGTGCTTATATTAAGTTTATTTGAATAAAGATTATTTATATTATTTGAAAGCTATATATACGTGTTTGAGTGCGTGGGTACATGCGTGCGTGCGTACGTGTGTGTTTTAAAAGTGTTTTTTTTTAATTCTGTTAAATACCCATGAAAAACTCGGGCGGGTCGCTAATTGACAATAAAGTAATCATGTGTATCGTATTGTAGGCGCGGCGGACGGCGAGATCGTGCCGGAACCGGAAGTGCAGAAGGCGGCGCTCAATGTGCTCGTCAACTGCGTATGCGCACCGGTGCATAGGGTATGGATCACGTTATTATATAATATAAAGCTTAGTTACTTGTAATAAGTATTATATTTGTTCATGCTTTACTTTTACTAACTACTCGTTACTCGCGACTTCGATTACATTTTTTTTATATAATAGACAAATTTTATGAAATAGTTTATCTTCAGACTATTTTTAAATTATATTCATTTTTCCGTTTAGTAGTAAAAAGATGACAAACGAGCAGACTTTCGCATATTAACTAATGCATGTCGGTAAATATTTGACCCAATGAGCATAAACAAGATTCTTGCTCATTCTTCTTGTGATGAGTCGGTGTCCATATTAAAATAAAAGAATGACTATTCAAAAGGTAGAATAAAAAAAGATTATTATTTCCACTTTATCAAAAAATGCATTAAAATGTGCTAAAATGAAGTTTATTTGAATAAAGATTATTTCTATTTCTATTTCTCGTTGGTTATTACCCTGACTTACTGCGGACCTAAGAATCGGTTGACACCAAAAAAAAATCGTCATCTCCGGTAATAAAAACACTTATATTAGATTAATTAAAAAGACATTTCTTGAATGGTTATAAGATTGAAAGATAATAATACTGGACTCATATAAGTGCTCCATCGACAAGAATAGAATATAATCGAAAATCCTTTATTCAAATAAACTGAAAGCACTTTTGAATAGTCATAGTAATCCTTTTTTTAATCTACCGCTCATTCGGAAGAAGAATGAGCAAGAAACTTGCGTGTCGCTCTTTTAAATAATCGTCGTAACTATTCATTTCTAAGTTGAACGTGTGAATACAAACTACAAACTAGCAATTTATTATGGTCAAATATTAAATACACACATAATAAGTTTAAATCAGTCGTAGTGATTAGAGTAGACCAATCTCTACAAGCATTACAACGTTCGACCATATTTTAGGGCTCTTTATTTGTGTGTATGTGGCTCTTAAACTATGAATGAACGATTCCCCGTCCAATTCAAACAGGGATTTCCATTTCAATCGAAATTACGAAGGCCTGAGCCGTAGTTTGAATCCCTAGCGGTGCCCTCAGACTAATGTCTTATCCGTCAGACGCTAGTTGGAAGTACTTCCTTTGGTTTAAGTGCTCTTTCGACGTTTCTAAAAAAATTGTTGGTACCTATATATATATATGGTTATACGAGGCCTGGACAAAATCTATTTACTCGAAATTTAAATTTTAAGTTATGAATTGTAAACACTTAACATAAACTAGAAAAGAAAGTAACTTATAAGAGCACGGACTATATGTCTGTAGAGAAAAAAACGTATATCTATATAAATAGTGTGTTTTGTGTGTTATTTTAAAAATAGTTTGGTGTGCAGGCCGGTACGTCGACGAGTCGCTTCTCTCTGGGCGGCGGACGGAAGCGGACCGTTCTCAAGTCGTACGAGGACGTCATACAGAAGGTTTGGGAGAGTGTGCGCACCAACAATGGTATCATGGTATGTACCATACACCCCGGGGACATTTTTCAAATTAATAGTAAATAACCCCTTAATAATAATAACCCCTGGACAATTCACAACACCATAATAATAATAATTTTTACCTTAAAAATATTAAGGTTTCATAAGGGTCGGCAACGCGCACGTGACACCCCTAGTGTCTCAGGCGTCTATAGGCTGCGGTAACTGTTTACCATCAGATGGGCTGTATGCTTGCTTTCCACTATCGTAGTATATTCAAAAAAATATCTGAGGATATTTTGAATACTTAGATAGATACAATAATAGATATTAAATAGAATACAATCTCGAGACAATTCACACAGCGTCAACTAGTCCCAAGGTAAGCAGAGCTGTCGCAGAACCGATACTCGCTGGAGTAGACGTTTTCTAGAGTGGAGACCGCGAATTGGCAAACGTAGGAGGCCTCGCAGCTATGTGGAGCGCCTACATACGTAGGGTTGATAATAACTGTAAAACGAGGACTGAAGATCGTGCCTATGTCCAGCAGTGGACTGCAGTGGGTTGATGATTATGATGATGATTATGATATGCCAGCATTGCGCCATGACTGCAAAGAGGGATGAATGGAAGAGAAAAACATAATACGCCGACCCCAAATAAATGGGATAAGGAAGAAGCAGATGATAATTATGTCAGGTTTGTGTCGTTTTGTTGTACAGGTGCTGTTGTCGCTTATGATGGTGAAGTCTCCAATCACGGACGCTGACCGCCTACGTGGGCTCGCGTGCCGAGCGTTGGCAGGCCTCGCGCGCTGTCCGACTGTAAGGCAGATCATCTCCAAGCTACCATTATTCACCACATCGCAAATACAAGGTATGTTGATGGTATGCAAGGTAAGTAAAACCTGTTAGCTACCGTTATTTAACCAAATTTATGGTTAGCCACAGGTAATATGAAGTTATTAATGGTTAGTTATCTGTGACAAAGAAAAAAAGTAATAATCTGTCTTTTTATTATGTAGTTTTTTTTTAATATACCATTGTACCAAGCATAAAATGCGGTTAATTATTAATAACCCTTAAAATTTTACACGCCTATAAAATGGTAAATATTATTGTTAATTATTATGATATAACATCTGTTCTGTGCTAATACCAATATTTTGTATATAAACTTAATTTCATTTCCCACGTAACACTCACCATTTTTATTGCTCATTTTTTTTCTTATTATTAGTATTGCTGCGTATCACACATAGCGACAAATATCTCAAGTTAATCTCGAGTCGAATTGTATATTCTCAAACAAACTATTCATTTATCTACCTATCTACAGTTTTGATGCGCGACCCCATCCTGCAAGAGAAGCGTCAGGAGCACGTCATGTTCCAGAAGTACGCCCTCGAACTACTCGAGCGCGTGTCCGGTAAGAGCAAACATCGTGGTGCGGAGTTCGAGACATCCCTAGCGAATATACACAGGGTGAGCAAATTATGTACTATGTTTATTTTTAGCGTTAATCTTCAAGGAAGGTCTGGTGAAATGTGAACTGAAAACCTACCGTGACTTCTGTGGCGTTAGCTCGCTCTATAGGTAAGAGATTCTCGGTTGAAATTGGGAAATTTTTTAATTTTCTAATTTGCCTTCAGATTATCATAAACGTGGAATCCAGTCATAGTAGTAGTAGTCGTGGTGTAAGTAAGTCAATACAAATTGCCTAGAAAGTTAAAAATCAGTGGCATGTTGCGATATTTCGTTGAATAGTCTAGAGACTTCATTGCCTAGCCTTAGTCCCATTTTTTTTGGGCCGGCCCGTCTGATCAATCTTCGGCAGTACGCTCTATCCTGGGTCGTCTGGGGTGTTATTTCGGCGTTGAACAATCTAGAGACGGTAGTAGAAAATGCTGACACCTACCGACATTGACATCCCTGTTACTCGAGTCAGCTCGTGACCACGACTAGTGCAATACAGTCGAACCTTCGCGAGAAGTAACTTTATGTTTCATAATTTTTTTTGTTAAGACCCAGTTTACAATATAAATAATGTATATTAAACACGAAAGATTAATAATAACCGACCCCCTGTAGGCGTCGTATAGGTATTGTAGGACAGGCTCTATCTCGGTTTGATCGCCTATTCATAAGACATACTCATTCATGGAGCAATTTGGGTATACACTTGGGTCCAAATTAGAAATATGGTGTGTTTTGCCCGTCCGTTTGTAACAGCGTTTTTTTTTACTGTATGCGCAGGCGAACGTGGTGGCGCAGACGCGCATCAACTACAACGAGCGGCAGCTGCTGCAGCTGGTGGGGGAGCACCTGGCCAGCCGCGGACTGCTGGAGAGCGCCACCACCCTGCAGCGGGAGGCCGGCCTGCCGCCCGCAGCCGCGCCGCCCCCGCCCCCGCCCCCGCCCCCCGTGTACTCGCCCGCCGCCCCGCCCCGGGTACGTACTGCGCCGCAGTATTATTAAAAGTTATGGTAATGGGTTACTAATAAAATTATAGTAACATAATGTATGTTATATTTACTGTGCAGCCGCGGCTGATGTCCCGCACCAGTAGCGGTGGTTCGATGCACCGCGATGCAGCCGACCTCAGCTATCACCAGCTCGCTCACAACGCCCACAACTCTCACACCGCTCACAACAACTCGCACTCGGAGGACAGTCCAATACCACATGTTATTAAAATAAGGTAAGTACCAGGTTTATTACTTTTTATACCGGGCTGGGTATTGTTCAAAATCTACACTTTACACATAGTAACCACAGATTATTATATTAGAGCCCGTTAGTTTCTGTCCCCCCACTTTTGTCCCTTAGGCCGTTCAAATATTACGTAAACATTTATTACAATTATTCCCCCCCCCCCCCTCACCTCCCTTGTCAGCAAAAGTAAGCAAAGCTCTGACCCCCTCCCCCCATGCTTACGTAAACATTTTTTAATTAATGTAATGTGTTAATGTATCGTTTTTTTAGCAAAGATAATGTCAGGGTTGCCATTCCTGTAAAAAAGTAAATAACTACCGATGACGTAATCAACATTTAGACTCTTCTACACCCCATTTCATCCAAAATAGGCAAAGCAGATACCCCTCCCCCCATAGTGCTTAGGGGCCGTTCAAGTATTATGTAAACAGATTTATTACACTTATTTACCCCCCCCCCCCCTGGCCAGCAAAGCTCTTACCCCCTACCCCATGCTTACGTAAACATTAATTAGTGTCTTATTTTTTAGCAAAGATAATGTGAGATGGACCTTTCGTTTAAAAAAGTAGATCACCACTGATGACGTAATCGTCACCTAGACTTCCCTACCACCCATGTCATCCAAAATAAGCAAAGCAAAGTCCCCCGCCCCCTTACGTAATACTTGAACGCCCGCCGCCCCGCGGCCCTTTACGTATGACAGTACGGATCGCCTTGTCTCGCGCGCGCGCCTAACTGCCTGTACGTTTGAACAAAGGCCTGAATACAGGTATACTAAGCATTAAGGATATGTACCTATGGTAATGAATAACTCGTTCTAGAACTTTCCCTGGAACCATATAATTTGCCAATTTTTGTCACAGAGAATTCAAATTCAAAATATCTTTATTCATGTAGGTCTATTACAGACTCTTACGATAGGTCAAATCTACCGTCAGTTCGGAATGATTTTGAGATGAGAAGAATTGACAAGAAACTCAGCTCGTATTCTTTTTAAATAAATGTTGTACATATTTACAGTAATATATTTCATGTTTTAATTCGATTTTGGGAGCCCACCAGCAAATGCTATTTCAAAAGCAAATAATCTAATCAGTGTTCATAACCCGAACAGGCCAGTCCCCAAAATCAGCACTCGTTCACGAGTATGACTTATTTTTCTCGCATTTATCATCTGCGATAAACATAAGTCATACTCGTGAACGGGTGCTGCTTGTGGGTCTGTAGTTGGTGTAACATATTTGTGTTATTTGCAGGAAGATGACGTCCCACTCCCCGCTGGTGTGCTCCCCGGGCGGCGGCGGTGGTGGCGGTGGTGGCGGTGGTGGCGGTGGTGAGCGTCGGTCGCTGCAGAAGCAGCTGTCGGTGGCGGGCGGGGAGGCGGTGGCGGCGGCGCCGCGCGTGTCGCTGCACTCCATCATCACCGAGTACCTCTACAACCAGCACGCGCTCTGCAAGAACCCCGTCGTCACCTGCCCGCAGTTCAACCTCTTTCAGTACGTCTCCATCCTTCCTTCCTTATCAATATTAGAAATGCGATTAGTCGCGGATATTTTTTTTAGATCATTTATAGAAAGAATAATTCACACATTATAATATAGAATAATTCACATATTCACGCAACAGAAGTCCTCAAATATGAACAATTTTCCTTGTTTATGCAACATTTTTCACTGATACTTCGCTTCTATAAGTCGTAGAGCATTATTACAAATGGACTATTATTGAACCAGTAGTTCCCCCCGCGCGTTCAAACAAACAAACTCTACAGCTTTATAATATTAGTATAGATTACAAAAACGTGCCATTCATGCGATTTACTGTAAATCTATCTATTCATTGGATTTGATTTTTTTAATGAATGACAGGTACTGTAGCTTAATTCAGAAATTATTATTAGTAATATTATTACCATCATCACAATGAGGGTTATTATTAGAGATGAAATGGATACTAGATATCGGCTATTCGGTCAATCACGTGGTCGAATAGCCGAATATCCGGCGGAACTTAGCTAACTAATTAATTTTTTTTTTTCTATTAGTCACTTACGATTCTGTGATTATAAATCCCATCAAAAACATAAATGTGAAATGATAGCCGAGTTTAATATTATGATATATGCCTTGATTGTTGACTTCTACGACAAAAGAGATGAACAAAGGCCAAGTTCAATGGTCTGTCCTAAAATGTATTTATAACAATATAAAATATCATTTCTTCTTATAACGAAATATACTGTTCTAGAACTTTCCAGTTCTCATATACCAATTAATAATTTCGATTGCTAGTTACTATTAATATTAAAATAGGAACCGACAAGTAACAAGAACTATCTTTATTCATATATTTCGTATATGAAAACTAGCTTTAGACCTTAGGCTACAGTATATTATCCTCAGTTATAAGAAGAAATGATATTTTATATTGTTATAAATACATTTCAGGACAGACCATTGAACTTGGCACCCATTTAGATCTCATCTCTTTTGTCGTAAATCAACAATCAAGGCATATATCATAATATTAAACTCGGCTATCATTTCACATTTATATTTTTGATGGGATATCATTACTTTTTGTACATAAATTATACTAGGTACATATTTATAACTAAATTAATACCAAATTATTTTTGATAAATTACTGTATAATCGTATATTTACGGGGTATAATTGTCTTTTTTTTGTGTTATTTTCTATATTTTCTTGTAACTTTTAAATGTTGAAGTACAAAGCCAATTCAGTATCAGGAATTTTTGGGCAAATCGGGGCGGTATAACGTCCACAGATGGTTGTACTCTACAATAGAGCTCTCGTGACTTGGATCTAAATTGTTAAGACGTATCCCATCTAAGGTTTTAACTCTGGAGAGTCCAACGTAAACCTGCCCTTTATTAAATATGGAGGAGCCTATGTTGAGAAGAGGACTGCCAAAACTAAGGCCTTTTGATTTATGGATAGTAATAGCATATGTTAAGCAAATACGGAATTGTTCTCTTTCAACATATACATTATTTAATATCTGAAACTTCGTATTGACACGTTATAGTTCGTAAAGACGATTATGTAACAAATTGACTGTTATCTATTGAATTCTCAAGAAAACAATTTGTTACCAATGAGTTCTCATTCTCGAGTTAACTATACATTCCTACTTATAACTATACTAAAATTGTTATTAATTCTTGGTTTAAACTATTGTCTATACCATACGTATTTACTAAAATAATGTAATAATAATATAACCACAAATATATAAGTATAATTTAAGAAAGCTATAAATTTCGTAGCATAAATCGCAACCTTATAGGTTAGATATCGAGAAACAAAACATTGAGACATATGAGGGCGGCTGCCATTTTCGCGTCAACGTTTTATCGCACCATTTTTTCACTGCGCGCCGCGGCGCCCTATACCGAAATGTCTATTATTTAATAATTATTTATAATGATTTTACACTATCGATGTGCGCTAAATATTGAAATAATAATTAATACCAAATCTCAGTTAATAACATAATAAATACGAAATTCGACTATACAGTTATAAGTACGAGTATATTTTAGACAGAATCTAAATTATAGCAACTAGTGTTTACCGCTCAATGCAATATTTGAAGTTTGCTAGTTATCGACACTGATGTGAAGGGGTCAACGTAAATTGGTAATGATCGACGTTTTCATACAATATTACTTTCCGTCCAGTACAAGATGAAATTTTTCGCCAGGGATCAATGTCAATTGGTGGCTATCGACGTTTTCATAGAATTTTAGTAACGTCCAGTATAAGTTGAAATATAATCAATTAAAGTGAAAAATTGTAGTAAAATGATAACAATTTACCAGTTTCAGATTTTTTCCTTTATATTCACCTAATTACCTATCTGCACGCCAAATTTGAACTTCCTAGGTCATCTGGAAGTGGGTTATAATTTTGATCTATAGTTGATCAGTGATAAAAATGACGATTTTTGGACATTAATATCTAAATAACCGTTTGAGATATGTTTATGAAATTTGGAACACATATTTATCTCGCAAGTCTCAATATATGAACCAAATTTGACAGGTTTGTGTGATAGAGTTTTTGAGTTATGAGGGGGTCAAAAGTGGCTCCAAATGGTTCGTGTAAATATACACACGGTGCTGCAAGCCAGTTTACTTGAAACTCGGCTTGACACGCTGCCGCGTGTCTAGATTTAAAACTTAAATTAATTATATTTCTTAAGTGATACTTACACTAACTAAATAAAGCAAATAATTACTTAAAAAATATATTTTTTTATACAGTTTTTTTTATTAGGCGGGATGCCTATCCGGCCGAATAGTAGTTGTCCGGTATTCGGCCGGATAGTATTAAGCCCGCCGAATACCGGCTAGTTACCGGTTATCCGTTTCATTTCTTGTTATTATTATTCTTAATTTATGAATATTTGGACATTCTTATGTATTTAGATTTAGATTATAATTATGTATTTTAAATTCTACACAATAGTTAAAAATAAATAAAAGTATTATTATTCTGTTATGTGCTGAAAGTTCATATATATATATATATATATATAATATATATATATACATTATTTATCTATCTATCTAGGACACTATGCCGTTTCAATTATTCACCAGTTTGTATTAAGTCTAATTGATGTTCATATTAACAGGCCACATAAGTGTCCAGAGCCACGCGGCGGGGCGGAAGCGAACGTGTGCGCGCGCGTGGTCCGCCGCGAGATGGGCGCGTGGGGGGGCGGAGGGGGCGGCGGGGGAGGGGGAGGCGGGGCGGCGGGGGGCGGCCGCGCCAACGCTCGCTTCGTACACGGACACTTCGCGCCCGCACGCACCCTGCGTCTACAGGACGACGAGGCTTACTTCACGCACACTATATTCCACGTATGTACAATTATATTTTTGTCAGGGGGGCTGTCTGTCCACGCACAAGCAATCGGCTCGCTGTCGGCCCGACCCGGTCGAGGTTGTCGCGCCTGTACCCTTTTTGACGTCCACTACGTATGCGCATTAAAATTTATATTGTTACATTTTAAAATATAAATAATAATCATTTATATATATTCTACACTTGATGATTTCTTAGGATTTTTTAAGGTTGATGGTTTTAGTGTTACCTTTCCCTCTTCTACCCAAAATCACGAGTACTTTTTTGTACCTGTAAAGAATCTTGAAATTTATATAAATTAGCAGTACTTGCGACTTCGTCCGCGTGGAATTTAACTTTATTTTCTAAAATAAAAGTAGCAGTAACAGTCCCGTCAAAATAAGTCCAGCTATTTCAGAGATTAGCCGGAACAAACATACAGATACAAAAATTGTAAAAAAAAATATTTTTGTGTATGTACCGTATTTATATTCATATGTATGTAATAAAAAATGGTTATTTCAATATTACAAACAGACGCTCCAATTTTATTTATATGTATAGATAAATATATGATCAAAGACAGGCAATGCAATTAAAATCAAATACCAATTGGTAATGTAATAATAAATTGCAGCCGACACAGCAGCAGCTGTTGGCGGCGACGTCGTCGGGCGACATCCGAGTGTTCAACCTGTTCACCGGCGCTGAGGAGAACTCCTACCAAGTGCACGAGTCATACATATGTCACATGCAGGTAAACACAGCTCTTCACTGCACATTTCGACAATAATAATTATGATGATGGTGGTGATGATGATATTGATGACATTGTGATGATGACAATAATAATAGTAAGTTATATACGCCACAACGGCAAAACTAGGAAAAGCTGAGAAAAAGAAGCAAAATAATAATAATAACCCCATACAATTCACACAGCGTCATTTAGTCCCTGTGTAAGCATAGCTTAGTGTGTAGTACTTGATTGTTTTTATATGTAAATACATACTTAATTCATTCAATCAATTAAATATGTTTATCAATTAAATTCAATTGTCTACTCTAAATCAATCAAGTCAATTATTTGACTTTAATTGAATTGAATTAAATTAATTGAATGGTGAGGTGAGATGAATAATTTCTAATACAAATGACACTAAGTTTTTAGGATTAAGTCTCTATTCCAAATTAGATAGAACATTACATATATAGATAGATAGAGTTACTACATCAGTATTCTTACATATAGATGGACTAGCTGTGCCCGTAGTTTCATCAGCATTAAATTTCAATTTACATTAGAGGAAGTATGAGAGTGGTGTCGGTGCCGGTGTGGGACGGGTTGAAGAGTCTATCTATCGTGGTATGGACATGTAATGCGTAGGAATAAAGATAATATTTTAAGAAAGGTGTTACATATGAATGTGAATGGTTATAAGAGCAAAGGAAGGCCGAAAAAGAGATGGATGGACTGTGTGAAAGATGATACGGTTAGAAAGGAAGTAAATAACGCGATGACTGCGACAGGGATGAATGGATAAGAAAAACATATTACGACGACCACAAATAAATGGAATAAGAAAGAAGCAGGTGATGATGATGAGATGATATAAATTTCCATTTAAAATATATAGTTATTCTGATGCATAAGCTATGTTACTGTAAAATTTCATGAAAATCCGTTTAGTAGTTTTTGCGTGAAAGAGTAACAAACATCCATACTCATAAACTTTCGCGTTTATAATATTATTAAGATTAAGATAGTGAATTAAATAAAAATTGTATTACCCAAATTAATTTTGATATTTATTTATGTACCAGGCAAGCAGAGACGGGCTGTTGCTACTAGCATCTACTCCCACGACCTGGCGGCCGTTCTCAGCATTATGGAGTATGAAGGACTTCGAACAGCTGTATGTATACCAGTTAATAATAACACTAGTGCTAGAAACGACCTCTAAATCTAATTAAAAGAAGGAAACTTAAAATAAATTGTATAAGTAATTTTAACAAAATCACTACGATGTTAAACTAAAATTATGTAAAGCAAACACGATATGATACGGAGATAGGTTCGAGCGCACGTCTCGACCAGAGAAGCAACACGTTTTTTTTAGGACTACTCTAACTAGAGGGCGAATGCAGATCACACCAAACCAAAGGAAGGACTTATGGAGCGGCTGAAGGATACGACTTTAGTCTGAGGGCACCGCTAAGGGTTCGAACCTCGTCTCTTTTGAACCTTTTTTTTTATATGGAGGTGACTTTATGTGCCGCAAAGATGAATAAGCAATAAATCTATAGATAAATCTACTAGCGCTAATACTCCGTTGGCACCTGTACTTACTCTACTAATACTTATATTTCTACTGCTACAGATTCCAATTAGAAAATGAAGAGTACGTGGAATTCTCCAAGGTATCTGATGATAGGATTATAGGCACCAAAGGTGAGACGGCGACCATTTTCGACACGTTGACTGGCCGCGAGCTGATGACCCTGACGCCGTCCATTAGCAACCAGTACGCGAAGAACCGCGCCACCTTCAACCCGACAGACGAGCTGGTGCTCTCAGGTATCATTTTGTTTATATCTTGTCCTTTAGATCGCCAGTATCGCTCAGACGTACAGCGAATATGGAGATATTGATCCTTTTATTATCAATTAGCTGTTCCCGCGCTTTCCCGCGTTTGATTTAAATATGAAATATAGCCTATATGTTATTCTGATGCATAAGAAAATTACTGTAAAGTTTCATCAAAATCTGTTGATTAGTTTTTGCGTGAAAGAGTAACAAACCTCCATACTTACAAACTTTCGCGTTTATAATATTTTATCAATGAAAAGGTAATTTTAAATTAAACAAAGAATTTTGACTAACGAAACATCTTAAAACAATTAATAGTACTACGTTCGGAGGAATTGGATGGTCTCGATCGATCCCCCATCCAATTCAAACGGGGATCGATATTACGACGGCCTGAGCCGAGGTTCGAACCCCTAGCGGAGCCCTCAGATTAAAGTAGTACCGGGCAGGCGGCAGTTGGCCTTCAGCTGCTCCATAAGTCCTTCCTTTGGTTTGGAGTGCCATCTGCACTTGCCCCTTATCGTCCGGTGAAGCTGTAAAGGCCAGCTGCGGCCAACAACATTAGAGTAGTCAAAAAAAAAGTCGGGAAGGCCATTCCATTATCACCTTATATAAAATGAATTAATGTTTAAGTATCTGTTGTACAGATGGGGTGCTATGGGACGTAAACACAGGCAAGGAAATCCACAAGTTCGACAAACTGAATCAAACCCACAGCGGGGTATTTCATCCCAACGGGCTGGAGGTAACTATTTACCTATTATACAATTCTAGCTTTTTCCCGCGGCTTCGCTGGCGTTAATTTATCCCCTTAGGGGTGGAATTTATAAAAATCCTTTTTTAGGGGATGCCTACGTCATAGTAGCTTTATGCATGCAAAATATCAGCCCGATCGGTTTAAAATTGACAAAGTTTCATACAAACTTCCACCCCCTATTTTATCCCCTTGGGGGTAGAATTAATCAAAATCCTTTCTTAGCGGATGCCTACGTCATAACATCTACCTGCATGCCAAATTTCAGCCCGATCTGTCCAGTGGTTTGTACTGTGCGTTGATAGATTACTATGTCAGTCACCTTTGAGTTACATATTTATACAATATATATGAAATTTATTCCAAACTAGCTGTCCCAGCGGTTTCATCCGCGTGAGATTTATAGCCTAAATATTGTGATGTATAAGGAATATTACATAAGGTTTCTTCAAAATCCGTTCAGTAGTTTTTGAGTGAAAGAGTAACAAACATCTATCTGTGCTCACAAACTCGCGTTTACTGTACAGACAAAAATTGTAAAAAAATGATATTTTAGTGCATGTACTGTATTTATATTCATATGCATGTAGTAAAAAAGGGTTATTTCAATATTATAAACAGACACTTAAATTTTATTTATATGTATAGATTAGATTTGTCGTATGCACAGAAATTCAACGAGTTTAATTAATTATAGTATAATTTTAATAGTAACATGTTTATGGAGATGGTTCGGGGATATACAGCCTTAATGTGTTCACGTTGTGTTTACAGGTAATATCAAATACAGAAGTGTGGGATCTACGAACGTTTCATCTGCTGAGGACCGTCCCAACGCTGGACAAGTCAGAGGTGAGTACCATCTGTTGCTATATTATTTATCTTTTTACTTATTTATATTACTAATAGATCCGGCCACGCATTTCTGTCTAAGGTTCTTGAATAAAATAATATTGCGACTATAAATTGAGATGTAAGTTATCCTATCTTTCAAGTTGGATTAAATTGCTCACAATGTGCAAATCAATTTTGCAATCGGTTCAGTAGTTTAGGAGTCTGTCGCGGACAAACAACGTGACACGTAATTTTTATACACAAAAATTATCGACGAATATAACCGCGAAATTATGGCGGAATGAATGAGTCTAGCGGATTAGCATACCGTCTTACAACCGATGGCCGCGGGTTCGATTCCTCGCACAATGCAAACATTTATATTCATGAGTATGATTGCGATTAGATTGTGAAGTAAACTACCTGCCGAGGTATTATCGAAAGACTACAGCATGGGGTTTTTCAAGAAGGATATATTAAGGTTTCTTAAGGGTCGTAAATGCGCACATGCCCCTTGGTGTTTCAGGCGTCCATAGACCATGGCAGCTGGCTAATGGTTAAACCACTTAACCATGATTAGGCCATCGAGGCCGTATTATTGTAGAGTTTATCTGTCTGGATGTCTGTTTATATGTGTGTACATGTAAAGGTGACGTTCAACCCAACGCACACGGTGCTGTACGCGCTGTGCTCGGACCGAGACGCGGAGGAGCGCAGCCAGTTCGACACCAGCTTTAAGACACTCGATGCCTTCGACTACTCCAGCATTGGTGAGTTAACCATTACTACTAAAATTGCTTATATCCCTTTCGCTATCTCTAACTATAATTTATTCCCGGTTACATTAACATCAGAGTTATAGGGCAGCGATGTATCGCATCATGTTTACCACCACGTGGTTCCTCCTGGAAACCTCGATGGGTTAACAGAACTGATCTCATGCTCATCTGATCCTCTGGTGCCCCGCCAGCGTAAATCGTTAGCGCAGGCAGGTACACGATTCCATTATCATCTATAACGTCAGAGTTGTATGTATGACGTTAATGTTGCTCAGGAACATTATACATATATACTAGCTGGCCACGCAGCTGTTTTGCGATATAAATTAAAATCGCTATTAAAAAATAGGGGTTGGTTATCACAAAGTATGAAAATGGTTGTATGTATTTTTTAATGCCACATAAAAAAGTTCTCCAAAAAATAAAAAATAATGTTAAGGGTGGACAACCCTTATCACTTAGGGGGATGAAAAATAGGTAGTAGCCGATTCAAAGACCTACAGATTATGCATATAAAATTTCAAAAATATCGGTCGAACAATTTCGGAGAAGTATGGTAACTAGCATTGTGACACGAGATTTTTATATATAACATTTAATTGTTGAATTTGTTTTGTTCACAGCGACAATAGAAGTGAAGCGCAACATATACTCACTGGGCGTGTCCCGGTGGGGCACGCAGATAGCATTAGTGGAGAACGTTGGCGACATCGACCAGGTGCAGGAGTCGTGCGTGAAGGTGTACGACGTGGGCCGCAAGCGGGACCACGACGACGACGCGGTACGTACACTCGCTGCACGTGTCCCGGTGGGACAGTGGGACACGCAGTAGCGTCAACTCCCCCCCTCCCCCCTGAGAAGGCGATGGAAACCTTCCCGTCGGGCTTTTCTTGGAGATACAAATTCAAATTCAAAAATCATTTATTCATGTTGGACATTTTAGCCGCTTATGAACTTTTTATTTTATATTTTTTTCCCTACCGTCCAGTTGAACTGGTAAAAAACTATTAAATTTCTTACTTTCATTTTTGAAAGGCCAGTTTATTTACAATGATTACTTATATAAGTGTCTATGTCTAACATTAAATGAAAATCCAGTGCATAAACAACTATTGCCATGCACGTTTGTCATTTACGTAATCGTTATATGTTAAATTTATTTAAAGGTAATTCTAGTATATACTTTGGTAATATTTTTTGTATCCATTCCCATAAAAGATTGATTGACTTTATAGGAAGAAGATGAAGAAGAGGAACTGGCCGGCGGCTCCGAGAACGACGACGGGTCAGACTCGGGCTCGGACAACGACGACGACCGTTAGTATTTATTAATTAATTATTGCCATTTATTAATTAATTAAATTTAAAGAAGAACAATTTTGGCAACATTATCAAGTTGTAGCCGTCAGTAGTTAGTCCGTATACTAATGTTATAAAGCTGAAGAGTTTGTTTGTTTGAATGCGTTAATCTTAGAAACTACTGGTTCGAATTAAAAAGTATATTTTTGTGTTGGGTAGTCCAATTGTCGATGAAGGCTTTAAGCTATACAACATTACGCTACGACCAATAGGAGCGGAGCTGCAATTAAAAATATTGCAAAGGGTGGTGAAATGAAACGCAGGCGAAGTTGCGCGGGTCAGCTAGTGAACTATAAAATAAAAGTGATAGTGATAGTGACTATAAACTAAGATAATCCAAAAGACTATGTTATTTATCCAGTATAGCTAATAGTTATTTCCCAGAAACAATTCTGTCATACATGTTTTTGCGTAACTTTAATCGTTTACGCAACGCAGCGGAAGCACTCAAAATGAGTATTTATTACATTTTTCATTGCTACTCCGCTCCTATTGGTCGTAGCGTGATGTTATGTAGCCTATAGCACTCGGGGACAATATACCTATCTGTTAATTTGATCAGTAGAACCGGAGATAGATATTTTAATAGAACTAACAAACATACAAACTTTTACCTTTTTATAATATTAGTATAGAATTCACCTATATAATGATGTTAGAATAAGCATACATAATCAATTCATAATAATTTAGTTTTTAATAAAAATTTGCTTAAAAACTGTAGTACGTTTAATAAATTAGCCAGGGACTGTAAGTAATCTTTTAGTGAATAATAGGCTAATTAATAGACTTAGCTCAATTAAAATCATATCAAATAAAAAATCACTGTCAAGTATTTTGTATTTATTATTTTTCCCCTACGATAATGTATTAATCTTTTTTCCATACATAATAGAAAATATGTGTGGGTTTCAGTCGCAGCAAGTCTGCTACGTAACGCGGTGATGGGTCTGGCGGAAGGAGGCAGTTCTGGGGAGTCCTCCCGGGACACCGACCACGCTCCCCCGCAGCAGCAGCACCAGCACCAGCCGGCACGCGCCCGCACCAGGCGGCGGCGACTGCGCGCCCGCAGAAGGGTCCGTATATTCATTATTGTTTAAATTTACTGATGAAGTTGTTATTAGGTATGTTGTAAACAAAAATTTACTGTATTAGAAGAAAAATATTCATTTAAGATACACATACATACGCACACCTATAAATATGTATATATATACACGCATACTCATCGCATAACTATTACAAAAACATATATATGCAATAACACTTTCGATGGTAGCGGGTTCGGTTCCTCGCACTGCACAAACATTTGTATTCATAAATATGATTGTTTGTATCGGTCTGAGTGTTTCCTATGTATGTATTTACGGAAAATAATAATCTATGTATTTGTATCGGTTACCTAGTACCCAAAACACAAGCTTTAGCTACCTTAACTTGGGTTTAGATGGCGCTGTGTCAATTGCCCTAAGCTTACAATTATTATTATTATATATGTTTTCTTCTTCATTTATATAGTTTATAAGAAGGTAATGCTCACCCAGACGGGTCATAGCTTAGCCAAGTGTTATTGTTTTTATTATTTTCTTCAATTTTCTTACTTCATTTATAATGATTTAATGATATATTGTATTAAAATAATTATATCAATTCCAATATTTACATACCCCTACGGACATGCAACACGCATGTCGTGTACTTTTATTATATAGTACTAGCTACTCGCCCCGACATCGCACGGATGTACATATATTATACATATACAAACCTTCCTCTTGAATCACTCTATGTATTAAAAAAAACGATTCAAAATCCGTTGCGTATTTTTAAAGATTTAAGCATACATTGGTACGGACAGACAGCGACAGCGACTTATACTATGTAGTGAAGATCATAATTACCATGTAGCAAACAAATAAATAATTTATATAATATATAATAAAATTATTATTATTAACGTTGTTTGTGTGAATGTTTGCAGGCAGCGGAGGCGGCACACAGCAGCGACAGTGACGGCGACATAGACATCGATCTGATACAGTTTGAACTCGACTGAGACGCGAGCGACGCGAGCGACACGAGCGACGTCAATAAATAATACATGTGTTGAGCAATTGTTACGATTTGTTTTATTTGTACGTCGTATTCAGAAAATTAGCAACTTAATATATCATTGAACACCAGAGGACCACTTAATGTTTGATATGAATTAATTTAGTACTGTAAATTACAATTATTTCAATATTATAATAATAATAATAGCAGAACATCTCCCACACTTGGCTAAGGCCCGTGTGGATGAATCACCTTCTTTTAAACAAGATAAAAGAGAAACATAAAAATAAATAATATTAACTCTTTATTGCGCACAGGTAAACAAAGAACAATCAGTACAGTACAATAAAAATGTTTTGGAAAAGGCGTTCTTATCGTTATTAGCGATAAGACCGACTATTGTACAACAATATTACATCAGAGGTAAACTAGTTATTTACGACCTTACCTTTAGTATCACCCAGATCAGCCGCCAAGGAGCTTGCTTAGTAAACCGTTTATTTTGTAGTACGATGAAGGACAAAATACTAGTCCCCCAGAATACCAAAGAATGGTTACGGGCGTTACGTGACAACGTCCATAGTGCTATACTGTTTTAAAGACGATTTTAATTGAGTTTCCGATATTTCGGCAATGATTCTAAACTAGGGAAACTGAGGAGCAGCGGGTAGATGTTAAATAAAAGGTAAGATCCCCGTGATTTTTCCTAATTGTCCGTAGTGCTGTTCATGTATATAGGCGACTGTTATCACTTACCATCAGGTGGACCGTCAGCTTTCTAGTATAGTTCTTTTTTCTTTAAGATATTCTTGCCTTTTGTATAAAAAAATTAAAAGTAAGTGGCGGTTAACTGCCAGTTATGTTTTTCTTTTTAACTGTTTCATTTTTAGAGAAAATAAAAATACCATATGAATGCTCAAAATATATTTCATAGATCATAACTGCCGTCGTCGTGGTCTAAAATTCCCATTATACAACAAATATAATCTCATATTCATGCATGCACATATATCGCATGCTCAATACCACACTGTACTAACTCAAAAAGTACAAATTTTGTAAATTCAACTTTAAAGCAAAGAGTTAAAGAAAATTTTTATATTCTCAATTTCTTTTGTTAATACACTATTATATTAAGAGTGTGATATATCGATCGATATGCAGTAACTCACAAATTAGATATTTTGAAATCTCGATCTTAAACTATATATACTATTAATGTTGATTTTTCAAAATTTGCAATTGTCGATTTATTACAATTTATTTTTAAGATCTTTGTCACACACCACATAAATACAATAACTATAACAAATTATTTACAGAATAATATTCTTACACAAAATAGTGCTAGGATCGCTTTCACAAATTAGTCCAGAATAAGGGGAGGGCATAAATAAGTAACCATGAAAAACTCACGCCATTCAATCCATACATACATACATAATTAAATACATTTCCTTTGTAAATGCATACAACTATAAAAAATTCAGTATTTTTTTAAAACAATATTAATTTAAAAATTAAAAGATGCCCATAGAGAACAAAACACATTTAGTCGTGGCTGTGTATGGCTTTTCACTTTTGCTTATCCCTTTAAGGGAAGAAGAGAGCTAAAAAAAAGTAACAAGATACAGACCTAACTATAGTCGTTTGTTTTTTTTAAATCAATTTCCAATTTGAAATAATATATTCATATGGAACACAATACAGACTCCATTTAATACTTTTTTTTTAAATAAATTAAAAATTAAAACTACAATTCCATATGGAATAATATACACCGAATTGTATCCAATTCTTTTTTTTAAATCAATATAAGAATAAAAATAGCAAATTGATTTTTTTTTGTTATTTGTCTTTTAATTACAATGAAATTTATATGTAAGTGTCTGAACGCGCGAACTCCATCTTATGATACAAATATTAGGATAATTGATATTCGATTGAATTATTCTAATAGGAATATAATTATAACATCAAATCTCTTAAATTTAATGTCTTTACATAACGAATTAATCTGTATAAATGCCAATAACAAGTGTTTTACATAATAACATTGTAATATTAATTAATTTATAAATATTAATTCCATTCGAGACGCTTTTAGCAGCATATTTCATACTGCCTGTGCCTGTAATTTCATCCGCATGATATTTGTAGCCTATATGTTATTCTGATGTATAAGCTATATTACTTTAAAGTTTCATCAAAATCCGTTGAGTAGTTTTTAGCGTGAAAGAGTAGCAAACATTCTCACAAATTTTCGCGTTTATAATATTATATATTAGTAATGTAAAGCACAGTTTGCGATATACGGAAATTTAATTTTGAACCATCTGTCTAAAATTATATTTTTTTTATGTAACTGTGTGGTAACCCTAATGCATTGAGAAATAGGGTGACACGTCTATGAGATATGACAGAGAAATGATTGGATATGTGTTGATTACGTAATTTCATCTGAAGACCAACTCCTGCGTGACGGATACGACTTCTGTCTGAGGGCATCAGGAGTTCGAAGTTCGGCTCGGGATAGTAGTCCCCGTTTGAACAGGACGGAGATCGAGCGGATAGGTTTAAGGTATGGACGGGGATCGATCGGAAAGGCTGAAGGAAGGGTAGTGTTTAGAGCCCTGTGTAGGACATTTAACCGTCTGAAACCATATTGATACGTAATTTCTACACCATTTTTCTCTTCCCCTGCCCAATTTCAATGGACTATGATGTCTAACAAAAGAATGAGGTTATGTGGTTGATTTTTGTCATTATGTACAAGCAATAAGGTTCATATTGGCCTGAAAGTTTGACTATCTATGACACTGTTTAACTCTATATATACTAATCTAATAAAAAATGAAACTTTGTCAGGCCAATAAGAACCTAATTATATATAACAATTAAATCTATTTTTTACATAAATTTTCTATTCATATTAATTCTTATTACTCTAAATTTTTATAGACGTATTCGGACATTTTTATGAATTAGCAATAATTTATTTTAAACTTTATTACTATGACATTAAAGTTAATTTGATAATGAATGTTTGTTTCGTAAAGATTATCTAACTGGTAATGGTATTTCGATAATAACATCCAGTTTCTGACAAAGAATTGTGAACTTATACCAACCAGTGAAAGTTCAAAATTCACTGCATCTACTAGTAGACTACTATTAGTGTCGCATCAAGAATAAATAACACAAATTTAATATCTCTTAAGAGCGTATGAATTATCAATAAATTAAAAAAATATTTAATAGACGCTCTTAAAACTATTATTTGGCAATAATTAGCCAAATCTAATTTATTGATATAGCAACTCCTGATAAATTTATTGCACGCCTAATAAATAAAAATTTAATAGCAAGAAAAGAAAACTTTTTAAAATCTACTTTAAATGTCAATACATAGAATCTATTTTCGAATAAAAATCTACTCAATTATTAGACGTGCCATATATTACCTAAAAGTTCATGAATGCTGATAAATCCTCAACCTCCTTAATACTGTAGTTATATTTCGAATATTCTCTTAAATTAAAGCAATTTGGAATGTATTATTATAGACATAAGATTCAATTTTATTTAATCAATTCGGCATAAATATAATAGAGCCAGTTTCATATAAATCCGCTCTAGGGATACTGAAATAACGTATCACTCGCTTAATAATAAAGGGACACAAAGATTTTTTCTGAAAATTACTTTAAAGCTTTAAAAATAAAATTGGTTTTACTAAATCCTTTGTTTTTTAATACACTTTATTATTAAGCTATAATATAACAAGATGATATTTATACGCTCTAACTGAAATAGTACGCAATCTTATATATAAAATTCTCGTGTCACAGTTTTCGTTCCCATACTCCTCCGAAACGGCTTGACCGAGTCTCATGAAATTTTGTGAGCGTATTGAGTAGGTCTGAGAATCGGCCAACATCTATTTTCATCCCCCTAAATGTTAGGGGTAGTCCAACCCTAAATTATTTTTTTTAATTTAAAGCAAAACAACGTTTGCCGGGACAGCTAGTAGTCATATATAGTTCCCGAACTAAATAGTACGGAAGAGCGCTGCCAAAGACGTTCTGTGCGAACTATATGACAAATCATACGCTCTTTTGTTCATTAGATAAAAAGGCAATAATACCAAAATACCATAGAAGTCTTGTGATATAACAAGAATACGTTTGCGTGTAAAAAAAATAATGTGTGTATAACAAATGTATTTAAATTGATTTACTTGTAAACGCTAAAACGTTTTTAAGTTGAAGTAACTGTAAATGCAAAACAATCTATAAGTTGGTTTAACTGTAAATGCAAAAAAGTCTTTCAGTTGGCTTACTGTAAATGCAAATATGTTTTTATGTTGATGTTACCAATAATCGCTGACATATCATTAATATAATTTACTTTTAAAATGCAAAAACGTAAATCAACTTACATATGACACCGTTGTCACCTACTATTTCAACTCTAAAAATTTCGGGCACTATTTCGTTAGAGCTTATAAATCTATCATTTTTTTGTGACCATTGTATTTATAAATAAATATTTATTTACATGAACATAATTCTATTTGGTTTCCGGATTGTTTTTCTGTTCTTTTAATCTTGAAATCTCTGCGCCCAGTGTGTCCATATTCTCCTGAAAATCACAATTATTAGAACCATAACATTTCATGACATAATAAGTCACACAGCGCCATCTAGTACCAAGCTAAGCAGAGCCTATATTATGGGTACTAGACAACTGATATATATAATATTTAGACATTGTTTAGTAAATACATAACATATATAGAAAACACCCAGACCAATACGAACAATTATAGAAATAGAAATAATCTTTATTCAAATAAGCACTTTTGAATAGTCAATTTTTTTATTCTAACGCTCATTCGGAATGCAGGATCATCACAAGAAGAATGGGCAAAAAACTTGTGTGTTGCTCTTTTAAATAAATATTGTTTCAATTATATTTACATTAACAAGGCATGCGAGAATCAACATAGAAACCGCTACGCACTACGCACCGCTACATACTCATGAATATAAATGTACCATGCGGGGAATCGATCCGCTAGACCACCGATGCCTATTCACGGTATGTCACATAAAGTTATGACCGTAGTGCTGTTCATGTGTATAGGAGACGGTTACCACTTACCATCAGGTCGGTACTTAGTATGTATGCCATTCCACATACTACAAAATGCATGACCTAAGAAAGAGTCAAAAATATAAATTGACGGATTACCTAAAAAAATCTGTATATATAGTACCTTGAGTGTGATGTTCTTGAGCAGAGTATCCTCGAGGACGGCCTGCAGTCGCCTGTTCATCTCTAGAGACAGTTCCAATGTCATGCCATCGGCTGCCCCTCCCCAAACGGCCGCCATAGCTCCGCCGCCCAATTTCGCTATTTCCTTCTGCAAAACGAATGGTATATTGTTATAATATATGTTTGTGTATGTTGTATATTATTTGTTATATATTGTTTGCACGTCTTCTAAAAACATGCTGTTGAAACCGCGAAGGCATATATTAATATTATTAAAAACTACGAAAAAATAAAATGCCAACTTGAAAAATGTCTGTTTGATAGAATAATAGTCAAATGTTTCTATTTAATAATAAAAAATAAAATGGTTCATTTCGAGTATAAAATATAAACATTTAACTTAAATTATTTTCTTACCTTAGTCAGTTTTGGTACCAGCTGAAAGTGCAGCATGAAATGTTCAAAAGAACTGCATTAGCTATTTTTTATAAGCTATAACGAAGTATAAAATCATGTGAATATTTTTTTACATATAATTTTTTTCTTACATATTATTATTTTATATTTATATAATATCATTTTATACTTTAAGGAGTAAAAAAGTTTACTACTTCTTAAAAGGCTGTAAACGTACGTCCGTAGCCTATGGACGTCTGAAACACCAGGGGTGATCCACGTGCGCGTTGCCGACCCTTAAGAAACTTTAATATACCCTTCTTTAAAAACCCCATGCTGTAGTTACGCGAGAAAACCTCGGTCGGTAGTTCATTCCACAATCTAAGTGTACTCGCGTGAGTGCCGCCAACAGGCGTAGCAACAGTCGCGACGCGACGCGAGTCAACAGGCGCGAGTGCTCCTCCAAGTACTCGAATCCGCGACTGCAACCCTCAAGTACCTTGTTGACATCGCTGCGGTGGGAGGTGACCGCCCCGGCCGGCAGCGCCGCCAGTAGATGTCGCAGCAGGCGCGACTTGCCGCGCAACTCGCCCGTCAACTGGCGCGAGTGCTCCTCCAGGAACTCGCAGCGCTCGGCTCGCCTCGCAGCCGCTCGCTGCAGCGACACGATCCGCTCGATCAGCGTCTGTCTGTCTGGCTCACGGACCTGTATAGACAGTTTATCATAAACAAAAATCATAATGTCACGACTGTCATCATAGTTAGAGGCATTCAATCAATGAATCAATAAAAAAAAATCATTTACTCATATAGGACGTTTCAGCCCCTTATGAACGTATATTTTTACTTTTAATGAACGTATCAATATTTTTTCCCACCGTCCAGTTCAGTGTACATATTCAATTGAGAAGAAATGGCAAGAAACTCTATTGAATTTCTTTTTTTTTTAATAATTTATTTGGACTATAGTTGTTGTGATTGGGTTCTTTTGAATCGAGATAGTTTGATATAGTCAGATCACACGTGACACTCGACAAGGAAGTTGCAGAGTCTACGCTGCCAGGGCCTCGGTAGAATGCACTCCGAGCCTAAGCCGCAAGGATATGAAAGTACAGGCTATAATTTAAAGAGATATTATGTTAATTGAGAGAAATATAGTAATACATATGAAGTAAGTGTGATGCAGGCGAAGTTGCGGCAGCAGCTAGTAATACATATTTATTGAGTGCGAGTCTACCGCCATCTCTCGGATAAATTTTTGATTTCATATTCGCGTTTCCTTCACCGGAGGTTAAATCAGAAAAGTAAATTGACGCACATTTTTGTGTACCAGCCAGATTTGAACACGCGACCTCTTGGACGTAATTGAAGGGTATTAAAAGTTATCAATATATTCTATATACATAATTCAGGAGTGTTATGAGTACATGGCTGTTGGCTTTTCAGCCAATGGCGTTAAAAACGAAAAACAAACATTTCAATTGGGAAAATGAAAATTATAACATAATACACTTCTACTGTTACATTTAAGTACTCAATGAGAAATAATAATCTAATTTTTAGAATACTAAACCGTAATGCTATATAAATAAAGATTACAATTCTACACATCAAACCTTGGGGAACATTTTAGCGAACACACTTGGGTCTTTTATCTGTAAGACAAAATACACAATTTTGAACTTTATTGCAATTTGCATAATTAATGTCAAACCTCAGATATAAGTTAGCTACAATTTAATCAAGTTCCAGAATTCATTTAATTAATTAATTGATTAAAAAATTAATCAACTGCCAACACTAATTTGAATACAATGTGACATGTGGAGAGTCTACGGCCGTCTCTATGATTCGTTTTTGTTTTAGTATCTATCTTTCCTTCACGGGAGAGCATGTTGTAGAGCAGAAATGTAAGTAGACATACTAAGATTTCATTGGTGTCGGAATTGTGGCTTTTGAATTAATAATAATAATATTTCAGGACAATTCACACAATGCCATCTAGTCCTAAGCTAAGCAGAGCTTGTGTTATGGGTACTAGATAACTGATACAAATCTTATTAAAATTATAAACGCGAAAGTTTGTAACTATAGATGGATGTTTGTTACTCTTTCACACAAAAACTACTGAACGGACTTTAATGAAACTTTACAATAACATAGCTTGTACATCAGAATAACACATAGGCTATAAATTTCACACGGGTGAAACCGCAGGCACAGCTAGTACATATACATTTTTTTGTCCATGCATACACAATATAAATAGATAACGCCCAGACCGATACAAACAATCGTACTCATGAATACACATGTTTGTGCTGTGCGAGGATCGAACCTGCGACCTTCGGAAGTAAAGCGGTGTGCTAAACTGCTAGACCACCGACGCCGTCAATTGACCACCTTCTGGGTGCAAGTCTGTGTACGATTAAGACTGTTATAACATACCTGTATATCAGGCATTGCGTCTGCCTGTGGCTCCTGTAGGCGGTCGTCAGTACTGGGAGGCGCACTCTCGCCGCTACTCAATGATGTAACAGAACCTAGAAGGTTATAAAGTTATTGATAACTTTATAAATCTTAAACGTGTCTGGAATATATCATCTGTGGATTAAAAACATTTTTTACGCGCGAAAGAGACTGACTACAATCACGTCTATTTCAAAGAATATATTTCAAAAAATAATTATGATTAAGAATGAAGAGACCTGTTCGTGTAGAGGGTGCGTCGGGCGGTGGTAACTTCGCTTCCAGTTGCTCGCAGCGCTTCAGAGCGCGTTGTAGCTCGCGGTTCAATTCCTACAAGTTCAAATTCAAGTTAAGCTAGCTAAAGCTTGTGTTAAGGTTTCTAGATAAGTGATACAAATACATAGGTATATATATTTTTTCCGTAAATACATACATAATATACATAGAAAAAAACCCAGACCGAAATAAACAATCATACTCATGACACATCATACTAATGTGATGCAAGGAATCGAATCCGCGACCATCGGAAGTAAGGCGGTGTCCTAACCCCCTAGACTCAACGAAGCCATCATTTTGCTATATACGTATATATATACTAACTACCGTATCTCACAATTAATATGAAACAAATTTTACAACGCAAACTGCGCGGCGACTGAAATAGGTGAGACTGGTTGTTACTTACATTAGTTGTAAGTATCAAAAGACTTATGGATTGGCTATGATACTCTCAATATAAATTATATGGTGCACAGTATAATATATTTTGTATATAAATTACTTATTCAGCAGCATGTATCATTTTACTCCCCGTATATAATAAACGCTTATCAAAAATATTATCATTTTCAACGAAGCATAAGGCCACTAAGTTTTTGGTCCTTCGAGTCGGATATTGTAATAAAAAGTGGTAATTAAAAATTACCTTAATGGCACTGGCGTGTTTCTTCTTTATCACTCCGTTTTCTCCTTTCTCCCACTCCAGTCTCTTGTTTACGTCCGCAACTTCCTCTGTCAGCTCGGCTACCTAGAAATTACATATAGTGATTAAGTGACTTTTTAATTAGATTACATTAATTTAACAACATTTAAAGAGCATGATGGAAGATCGCAGAAAGTGGCAACAGCTCCACCGATAAGAGCGTAGCTCTTAAATTATGAATGAATGAATTAATTAAATTATAGTAATGTCTACTTCTTAAATTACTAACTCACCTTCTTACCGCCTGACTGACATCCGTATCTGTTAAATTATTATTTTAAGTGTGATTCTTGATGCTTTCTGCACAGAGATTTTATAATATGTTCCACTTTGTTCAGCTTAGTTTGTTTAGTTTAGAAGTTAAACATATGGATATATATCCAGCCTATCTTTTTTTTACTAGTAAAACATTCACCGCAACTAAATCCATATTAAGCTTAATATTAAGCGAAATTATACTTAAACTAGCTACCGGCTACGGCTGCGCACAGGTGTACATGTATTATACATATAAACCTTCCTCTTGAATCACTCTCTATTAAACAAAACCGCTTCAAAATCCGTTGCGTAGTTTTAAAGATTTAAGCATACATAGGGACGGACAGACAGCGACAACGACTTTGTTTTATACTATGTAATGATGATCAACTTAATAAATACTTAATTATTTACCGCAATTATCTAAGGATTTGCTTGACATCGAAATCTAGCATTGCATTTAAATGGCCCGCAGCGAAAGCTCATTAAAGCTTAAACTCGTGTCGAGTCCATTTTAGAATTGCACCCTTAACAATCAAATTGCCCCCTAGACCGCACGTTGGGAAACACTGATCATTATCATTGCCTTACCTTTACCCCATCATTTGGGTCGGCGCAGTACGTCATTCTCTTCGTCATCAGCCGTCATATTATTATATTATCCACCATACTTTCCTTTTATTCATCATCTTTCACACGATCCATCCATTTTTATTGTAGTCGTCCTCTCCCTTTCCATCCAGGCATGTTCATATATTGGGAAATATATAGATAGTGGTGATAATGGTGGTACCTTCCTGGCGAGGACCCTGTTCTCCTGGTGCCTCCTGGCGGCCTCGTCCGCGAGCGCGGCCCGCAGCCGAGCCCCCTCGGCCTCCAGCTCCGCCGCCTGCGACCGCAGCGAGCTGTTGTCCGCAGTCAGGGCCGCCACCTAACAAACGTAGAAGGACTATGAAGTATAAATGAATTTCTGGATTATTTCCACGGCGTCGTTGGTCTAGCGGTTCAGCACACCGCTTTACCTCCGGTGGTTGCGAGTTCGATTACTCGCACGGTGCAAACATATGTATTCATGAGTATGATTATGTGCATCGGTCTGGGTGTTCTCTATGTATAATATGTATGTATTAACAAAAGAAACATTTATTTATTCTTTAATGCACAATAAAACTTGTACAAAGGCGAGCTTAATGCCATATGGCATTCTCCACCAGCTAACCTTTAGGTATACAGAAAGCGTTGTGGGGCAGTTATGTCAAAAAACAATATATATATCTAAGTATTTATATTATCCAGGGTTTATTCCAGGGTGTATTATTATGAACGGCGACGTGCCAACCGTACCTAGTCCCGGATGTAGCGACATACCGGCCGTAGCTAGTTGCTCCGTGCGTAGTGCGGGGCGGGTACCTTGTCTCGCTGCTGGTGCGCGTGGGCCTCGCGGCGCACGTGGTCGGCGGTGAGGGCGGCCGCGTGGTGGAGGGCGGCGGCCTCGCGCCGGCTGCAGGTCTCGGCCGCGGCCGCACACTTGGCCCGCTCCTCCTCCGCCTGTATCGCCCGCTCCGTTTCCCTGAAATCATCAATTGCTTTTATACTATCACCTCACCACTACAGCTGCCTTTACGCGTACGCTCTAACACTCATGAATGAAATAGTTGACTTTACACGACACATTCTTTCGAGTGCAAACAAAAGCGCGCGTGATTTAGCGCGGGAAACGCACAACGCACAACGGCCCGAATGTGAGGCTAATTGCGGAGAATGGAGTCTAACATACAAACAATAGCGCGGGAAAGTCAGCGTACGCTATCGTGTGTTATAGCATTTGACTATTATTTACATATAAAAGAGCACCGTGCACCTTTCTCATTTTTCTTGCGATGAGTAAGCGTTCCGAATGAGTGGTAGAGTAGAACAAATATTACTATTAAAAAGTGCTTATATTAAAATTCACTTGAATAGAGATTATTACTATATTTATTTATATCAAAATTATTCTCGCAGTCGTTCGAGTGGGTATACCTTTGCAGCTGTGCGCTAAGAGTGTCAGCGAGTGCTGCCTGCGCCCGCAGCGCCGCCAGCTCCGCCGCTTCCTCCTCCAGCCGGAGGTTGCTTGCCTTCAGTTGTTCCACCTGTTTAAAACACATTTTTTTATACTATGATGGTGGCTATTAAGCCCATCTGGTAAATGGTTACCGTAACCTGTGGATGCGTGAAACACCATTGACAATTATAGATATTGACACAACAATCTTTCATTTGGTGATCTTTAGAACCTCCGTCCAATTCAAACGGGGTTCGTAATTACGACGCCCTCAGCCGAAGTTCGAACCCTCTAGCAGTGCCCTCAGAATAAAGTAGCATCCGTCGGGCTGGAGTTAGTCTTCAGCCGCTCCCTAAGTCCTTCCGCGGGTTTAGAGTGCCATCGAAACTCGTTTCCTATCGGCCGGTGAAGCTATAAAGGCCAGATGCAGCCAACAGCATTAAAGTAGTCCGAAAAAAAACTTTCATATCTCCTTTCAATCTATCTAGGTACCTAATTTCTTATCTATTGACCTATATGGGGTCTATTTTTACATAGTACACCTCTAAAAGTTTTTAAGGGGTGTGTACACCTCCCTCTAGGGTTTAGGTCTATGACCTACTTCGTCGAGAATCCGTGAGAATTATACAGTCCACAGACAGCATAGAAGAGTGTGTTCATTTATTTGTGACCATATACAGTCGGCAATCCAATGAAACTACAAATTGCAACATGTACCTCAGTAGTTGATAGAGCGAGTGCGCTGCTGGCGCTATCTCGCTCCCGCTTGCATACTTCGAACTGTTGCGAGACAGTCGACAGTCGGCGATCCAACTCTTCTTTGTCGTGTCGACACATGATAAGCGCTGCCTGACTCTCTTTTAATTCGGCCTCTGGACATTAATAAAGAAAACTGTCAAGAGCGCTTCGGATCTGCATGAATAGGGTTCTGTAGGTTTTTAAAGGAAGTTTTTTATAATAATCCTAGACGATTTACACAGGGCCATCTAGTCTCTAGCTAAGCGGAGCTTGTATAATAAATACTCAACAACTTATATAATAATAATAATAATAATAATCTCAGGACAATTAACAACGCCAGTGGTTTAGCACACCGCCTTACTTCCGATGGTAACGGGTTCGACTCCTTGCATGATAAAGACATTTATATTCAAGAGTATGATTTTTTGTTTTGGTCAGGGTGTTTTTTTATTGGATGATAATGGAATGTTGCACTCGTCCACATTACTAACATTCCCCTTCCCCCTGGTCTGGATGTATATTTTGAAAGGATGTACAAATACAATGTAATGAAGTATTTCTATCAGTTGTATGCCCTGCTTAGTCTGACTAGATAACTGTGAATTGACCTCGGTTATTATTATTGTATAGTGTAAGAAGGTCGAAAGAACAAACCCAATTGCTTAGCCCGGAGTGAGTCTGAGGCATTTGCGATGGCGGATTCCTTGGCAGCCTCCAGTTCGCTCACTTGCTGGGTGAGCTTATCAACACGCTCCGTACTTTCCTGCAATAAGAAGGTACATTTTATTAAAAGAAAGTGAAAGTAAATTCATTTATATTTAATTTATATTTAAGTAAATCTATATTAACTGATTAAACTGATTTATTACATCAATAAATTAATTTACAACATTTTTCTCCGTCTGGACCGATTTTGACTTTCATCAGCATATAGCTAATATATTAAAGAGCTAACTTAATCTATTTTTCTTTTAGAAAAATATAGTTTAAATAATAGCAACATTAATTGAAATATCGAGAACTCAATAAATATATACAAAACGTGGTAAAACCCGTAATTTTTCTCAATTTTCCATATAGTATAAATAATGACGGCGTAAAATTTAAAGCAGTTTGGAAAATATAATAAATACCTTGTAGGCATCCATTTCGATGCGTAGTTTGCTCTGCGTCCATTTCAGTCTACCCTCCAACTCGCGCAATTCCTCGCGGATTTTCGCCACCTCCCGTTCACTCGTTGCTAATTCATGGCACTAGCAAAGTAAATAATAAATCTATATATTAGTATGATATAAGTACATGAAGCAAAAACTTTGACACCTATTCTATTTCTATTTCTAATTTATCATTATATAAGCATTAGAGAAATTACAGCATTGTTAGAAGGTAATTCCACAATGTGGTTGAGAGTGACTAAAAGATTCTGGAATCAAGGTGAAGATGGTCCTGCATAATGCATGTTTATTTATCATTCATCTTAATGACTATTCATCATCTATCATATTTTACATTATTAGCGTACCTTGTCATCATACAGTTGACAGATTCTCTGCTTCTCCCCATGTGCAGACTTCAGCTTCCCATTTAGTAATTCCACTTCATTGGCGGCGGCTCGCTCAGCTTGCGCCGCTTTTTCGGCCGCTCGCTTCGCCTCTATCGCCGTGCACTCGACGCTGGCGTAACGCATAACTGCCGCGTCCTTCTCACGTTCTGCTTGGTCTACGCGTTTTGTCATCTGTTTGGAAGAAGAAAATAACAAACTTATATTGACCCTTTCAAGTGTTAATTTGTCAAATAAGATGTTAATAACAAACATGTTTAATTCATCAAAAAAATCATATAGCAGTTTTAGAAAGGCTAAGGTAGGGCATGGCACCAAAAAGGCTGACAAACACTATACAATAACAACCTAAGAATATTGTGGCACATTTAGGCAAAATTAAGATAAAATACACAATTATGGCTTAGCAACAGCACCTCTGGTACAGGCAAGATGACTAAGAATACATCAATAAAATGTTTAATTGTAACATATTTGCTACAAATATTGTAAAAGAAAACAAAATGTACAGGTACAAACTTACCAAATCTACTTTATTCTCAAAGTCTTTAAACATCTGATCTTTCTCCTGTAATTCATCCAATTGGTGTTTGAGCTTCTCCCTTAGTGATGCATTTTCTTTTCTCTGCTCTCCTAGTACTCTCTCCAATGACTCCACTTGTAACCTCAACATCTCTTCCTTCGTAACACCATCAGCAATTGTGGTATTCTCAACTATCTCATTCATACTAGCTAAATTTGTTGCTAAATCTACATTTTCATTTGATTTATCAGCTCCATTCTCATAAGGAGTCTCTTCAGGTGTATTATCTTCGAAAATTTCATTAATAACCTTACCATTTGGTACAACTTTCATAGTTTTTGCTGGAGGTTTTGATGCAGCAACACGATGAGTACTATTGTATGCACTTTTGAGACTTCCACTCACCGATGAAAATATACCATGTACATTTTTAACAATACTACCAAGATCTTGAGATAGTATTTCTTTTGGTATTCTCGTATATCTAACATCTATGTTTTGATTTATCTGTGCTTCCGGTATCTTTTGTACAGCTCCAACTTTAGTCTTTTTGTTTGTGAATTCAGCTAATATCTTTTCTGCATTCAAATCATTTGCATTATTGTTATGTTCAACAGATATATTTTCAGCACTCTTACTAAGAGGAGATTTACAGATTGTGGAATTCAAGACTGTGTTTTGTTCATCTAAACTGGACGAAGAAGTGGCCAATGCATTTATATTTAAATTACCGTTCACGTATTTATCAAGAGGAACAGAGGAAGTATTTACATGCATACTCTTTTTAAGAACCTTATTACTGATGTTCTCTGTTGACAGCGCTTCAGTATCGCCGTTTTCATGGATCGGCGACTCATCAAGGCTCATTACGTCGGTAATTTCACTATCGGTCGGAGAAATTGTAACTGGAAATGATAATGATGGACAACTTTCATTTTCTGGATTTGTGGACTCTAATTCCTTGTTATTGTCGTGTAGAATATCCTCAATGTGTTTGACAGGTGAAGTTTCTGAGTCAGACGATGCTCCGAAGACACCAGAACAGGAATCAACAGTGTCTACCCCGGAATCGCTGGTTATTTCGCACAATGAACCATTTTCTTTGCCTATGTCGACGTCAATATTTTCAATATGGATTTGAGTTTCACCGACTTCTACAGACATTTTACATCTATAACATAGCTTAGTATAAAATAGTATTTAATTTTTTAATGTTTTGTAACACAAAATCCATTAAGTTAATAGATTAATATTTTTATATTGAAAATAAACATCTGTTTTATTGTAATGTTTGGAAGTTTTTACTTGATTGATATTGACTGACATTTACATGAGACAATATTGACGTTCCGTGACATTGACATCCAAGTAGTCTGCACGATACATGAAGTTCTTTTTTAAGAAAACAGAAAATTAATTAAACAGAAAATACTGATACAAAGGTTTCCCTTCATTTCTGTTGCATATTTTGAATATTAAACTTAATTCCAGTGAAATTAGCTGTTGATAATTGAATAAAATATAAATAGAGTATAATTCATCCATATAATTATTTTATGCTTGATCGAGATTTCATTAACAATGTTGCAGCAAAGATTTTGCATTATAAAATACCTATTTGTTTTCTTGGCTATTTATCAGATTACCATCTAATAATTTTAAATCCACTTTAGTAGTTATTCAAGTATGCAAGACAGAAAAATTATGCCATTTTTTTTTTAATGACATTATTTATCGCATTGGACATAATTATTAATATAATATAATAAGTATGAAGGAAATAATTTATATGCTTACAGCTATAATTTGTATTAAAGAAATATACACACACTCTATTTTGTTTGTTTGGTATACTTCAACCATTTGAAAAATACAAAAAATGATTTAATAAATGTAATTAACATTAATGATATTATTACAATTTGGTATAACTTTCAAAGTCTTTACTGGAGGTCTTGATACGGCAATGCGATGGGTACTGTTGTATACAGTATACAAAAAATATAGACCTTTCAAAATGCTTTTTAATTACGGAATTACATTAAACTATCTATATATTTGAATAACCTGAAAAGTTCATTTGTTTATTGTCAACTAAATTATTAAAAGCATCGGCAGTAACAAGAACATTATAATAATTTATTTAGATTGAAATGAATAACAGGTTCCCATAATAAATACAATAAATATTTAAGTCTTTTAAGTCTTTTCATAGATAATGGAAAGTTATTCTCACATATTACTATTAGTAAATAGTGGTTGACACCTATCGGATAGATTATGTTTGAATAAAATCTTTGTCCCTAGAATGAGTCTTGACTAGCGTTAAAAACTATTGTAGATAAAAAATTCCTGACACAATCTAATAAAACAACAATATTTATAGAACTTGCGACCAGATTATATTATAAAAACTACTAAAAGAGTTCCTATGGTGGTGTTGTAATTATTATCAGTCAATTGTTAAAATAATTTTATAAGGAATGTTATTGCCTGATTATTTATATTATCACGGTGATAAGCTTTAGTGTTGAAAAAAAGTTTACATTTTTTTTATAAAAAAATATATATATACAACAGAAGTTTACTCGACTCAACAGCACATTAGTCATGGTACAATTTAGTACAATTATGTGGCAACTTTAGAAAGAAAACGTCACGTCATTACCATTTTCGCTCTCAAAGGAAATTGAAACGGAAAAGTAGGTCGTCGGTATTGATTTTTACAATATTCGGCAAACAAAAGACGTAGCTTGCTTTGTGTGATACAGTAAAATAAATTCACTGATCCAGTGCGAGCAGAGCCACCGAAATGCCTGTAAGTGCCAAATTCTTATGTGATTTCCGGAAATGCTTTATCAGTGATTTCATAATCGTTTCCTTTCTGCAATAATTAATACTGTCGTCATCGCGTTTATTCAGAAGTCGACATTTTTTTTTTCGGTAATTCTAAATCGTAATATTCTTTTCTTTTATTATATTAATTTGATTAAAACTCGTCTATTTTAAAATGAGTCATCGCGTTTTTTCAGGGTCATTTTACACATAACTACGTACTGTAGTACCTAATCTGACTTGTGCGTAGTTACTACCTACACGTTTTCAATTCGTGCATATCAGCAAATTCTTCCTGATTGTAACTTTTTTATGCATGTTCCAATTTTAAATAAAGTTTCCTGCCTGTAACTGGCTGAATTATCATATAGTTGATTGGGCGGGCCTCTTGTAATAGTGCAGCGCCATTCATACTAAGTACGTATAAGTACATAGATAGTGATGTGTGCCAAGGTTGCTTTGTAGATAAATTGTAATCTGTTTGAAAATGCCCTTGGTACCAATGTTCACACGTTAGATTTTCAAATTATGTTCTTTTTTTTAATATTAGAATTTGGCAGTATGGGATTTTGTCTTTACTGATATTATGCAATTCCTTTAAAATTGTATTATTACTAATAATAGTTTGTATATATTTAAATTATATGTTTCATTGGTGTATAAATTAAAATATGGTACTGAGCTCAATTTCCTTTGTTCTTCATATATATAGGGTTGCCAACATTACATCAAAAAAATTTAACTACCCCATTTTGACAAACTAAATTGATTGAACTAAATAAATAAATCAATTGGTAATAAAATTATCCAAGAAATTAAACAATTGTGTCTATTTATCAATTCCGTCAATAATTGTCTAATTTTGTTTAATACAATTTTTTTACATGTATGACTTTAAACATTTTCTGTCATACAGATCTTAAGAGGACTATTACAAACTCAACTAACAATTACTCAAAAAGAAATAGTTAAAAAGAAAACTTGTAGCAAATATTGGTATTGATCTGCCAATGACCACACCCATAATTTTCTTTGACATTTTTTCCTGATTCAAAAATATTTTTCCTTAAACTATATCAATCAACTGTACATGCCTACATTTAGATTATTGATAATACAAATTACAAGGAAATTAAAAAAAATGTGTTTATAATTTTTTTTTTCATTCACATGTGGTTATTGATTTTACACTTGTCTTGTGTAACTGAATAGGAGAAATCTGTCATACCTCTTTTGTTTCACCTGCTACATTCTACTAGGACTCTTACATGACTCTTACTGACTTGACTTTGGCGGATATAAAAGATAGAATAGAATTCAAATAAACTTAATATAAGATTTAACTTTTTAATAGTCATATTTTATTATTCTTCTGCTTATTCAGAAAGCATACTTATCACAAGAAGAATAAGATAGAAATTTTATTGTTACTCTTTTAATAAATGTTGTTCATAATCACATTTTTAAGCATTTTATGTGACTAGTTGTTATTTACTTTAAAAAAATTGTTAGAGGTTTATCTAAAAATTATTACATTACACTGCAATTTTTTTTTTTAATTATTATTTGCACAATTTAACCCACTCAACACTTCTGATATTCCACTCTATTGGGTTTATTGGAAGATATCTCTTTTAGAGATATTTCTATGTTAACATAATTAATATACCTAAAAATCTATTTAAGTGCCATAAAGTATATATAAAGCTTCCAATTGTACAAAGTATTAAATTAATATACCTACTTACTAAACTTAAACAATTGCTCAATACATTACATTATATGCTTACATCTCCTATTGTCAAGTTACAGTAATCATATTTCATGTGAACGGAAAACTGCATACTCTGAATTTGTATAGCTCTTTGTTTCACATATACCTATAAATTTTGTTGATTTGTTCAAGTAATATTATACACATATCCTGGTTATTAGCAGTCAACAATTCTGCCAATTAAGACAGGTACTGTGTTTAGCTCTTGAGTAGTATTTTTTTTTTAATTTAGTAATATTTTTGTCTGTATATTTTATAACAACAGAATGGTTAAAATTAACTCTTTTTCACATTCTTATCTTATTTATTTTGTTAGACCCTATTACCCTTGTATTTTGTTCCATATTCAGATAGACTCGCCTATGATTTTTAATTGTTTTTTTTTTCTAAATTTATTTGAGATTCCATTTTTTTCCTATCCTATTTATAGCACTCCTATTTGTTCATTGTGTTTTAATTGAGAGATTTGAGGTCCATGTAATAATTTTATTCTATCCATCCAAAGTCAGGACAGTCATTAGTATTAAATGACCTGCTCAGTTATTTAAGCTTAAACATCACATTTTATATGGGTGATATATTAAAGTTAAAAGTATATTTATTACTTAGGGAAATATGGGGATATTAGGAAAAAAATGTCCATATAAGGAATGTGGTGTATCTACATTATCTCTGCCTTTTTTTTAATGTGTTTATTTTTTATTTTGTTTCTTTTGTATGTTCATTAATGGTTTATCAACCAGGACGCGGAGCTGAGTGCACCGACCGTCGAAAATGTACGAGTGGTGGTTCGAGTCCGGCCGATGGACTCGCGGGAGAAGCTCGACGGCTCTTACAACTGTGTGTCGGTAGACGCCGTCAACCAGACCATCGCGGTCACCAGGAACAATGTCACTCCGCCGGAGCCCCCGCGGGTCTACGGCTACGACTCGGTCTTCGATAGTAACACTAGTCAGGTAAATGGGGCGTGATTATCTAAAGCTGTTGCTAACAGTTCTCATTCGAAATTGATTCATAATAATGGGGTTTTTCAATAAAAGTATTAGGGATGAAGATAGATAGGGATATCTATAAGGATCAAGGAAAAGGGCTTAAGGTTTCTTAAGGGTCGCCAACGCGCACGTGACACCCCTAGTATTTCCGGAATCCATAGGCTACGGTAACCGTTTACCATCAGAAAGGTATATAAAACAAAATAGGCTTCAATAGTAAACATAATAAACTTTTCAATCCGCCATTTTGTTATTCAATGTTATGGTATTTATTTATGTAAATACCTTTATTTAGTCAGTACAATAGTACACAAGGCTAAATTAATGATAAAGATCTTTGTGATGAGTAAATTAAAAGAAAAAAAAAAGATTTTTTAAAGACCGCCATTTTGGCTTTAGAGTGATATAATTTTTCTTTTCATATCCTCAACAAGCCGCTCATTTAATTATACATACATATATATTGTTCTTAGAAATGCTATTCCTCTTAAACAAGTCTTATAAAAAAGCATCATTGTTCTTAGAAACTACCTATTCCGCCATATCGTATTTAGAATGACGTCATCAACCTTTCTTGGCGTTGTCATCTAAAATTATAGTTAATACTAGAAATTATGTCTGGTATATGTATTAAGGTTTCTTAAGGGTCGGCAACGCGTACGTGACACACCTGGTGTTTCAGGCGTCCACGGTGACCGTTTGCCATCAGATAGGCCGTATGCTTGATTGCCACCTAGTATAAAACAAATCAAAAATAATTTATTCAAGTAGAACTTGACATTTAGACATTTTGTAATGTCAAGTTTTTTATATTAATATAAATAAAATCAGTAATCATTTATTTAAGTGAGACATTTCAGCCGCTTATGAACGGCAAGTTTTTGTATTAATATTTTTCAGTATACAGAATCAATTGAGAACTATTTGCCAGTTCTCAATTGAATCTGTATATTGAAAAATATTAATACAAAATACTTGACGTTCATAAGCGGCTAAAATATTAAAGTAGGACACTTTAATAAATGACTGATTTCTATCTAAAAAAAAAATCACGATAACTTTGTATTGTGGCATAAAAACGTAAATTATAAAAATTCAAATAGTAACACCAATATGACTTTGTTCCGTCGGCTTGTTTTAGAACAATAGAATTTCAATTCGCGTGCGTGTTTTAAATTGGTGTCACACGACACTGAACCGGCATTACGTCGCCTTGTATTCTATTCGCTTGTAAATATCGAGGTTACGTTCTATTGTGGTAATTGTCTACTAATTTATATGTCGCATCGTATTAATATGTAAAACGTACATATGTATGATTGAACCGCGTCCCCTGAGGAATTTTCGTAATCACTGCATCTTTAACTTATGTATTAAATTCTCGTGTCGCAGGTTTTTATACTCCTCCGAAACGTCTTGAATGATTTTTATGAAATTTTATATGTATATTCAGTAGGTCTGAAAATAGGTTTATTTTTCATTTTTTCAAAAAATTTTTATATTTATTTTTTTGCTCTGTGTCATTAAAAAATGCAACAACCTTAAATTTTCGGAGTTTTCAAAATCAAACTAGTTCCGCTGTCTGTACGCTTAGATCTTTAACTACGCAACGGATTTTAATGCAATAGATTGAGTGATTAGAGAGGAAGGTTTATATGCATAATACACCCGTGCGAAACCGAGGCGGGTAACTAGTTACGTAACAAAAAAAATCAACAATTCTCTTCAAGTGAATTGGCCATGATGGTCTTAGCTGACCCGACTTCATGCTCATCCTATCATCCTCCACTGGTACCACGCCTAAACCGATATCGCATATCGGTATAGTATTCCTCTTGTATAATAACAAGCTGTGCCCGCGATTTCACCTGCTTGTGTTATTCTCATGTATAAGGTATATTATTGTAAAGATTCATTAAAATCCATTCAGCAGTTTTTGCGTGAAACATTCATCCATACTCACAAACTTTTGCGTTCATAATATTATTAAGATATCTAAAAATGTAGTTGAAGAAGAGAAGAGAAGATAGAAGAAGAATAAACGCAATACTCTTCCATCTTTCGTCTTGACTGTCGCCGTTCCGCGCATCAGTCTTGTCGAATGGTGGGTGAGTGCTGTGTACTGCATCGTTTAGAAGAGAACAATGAAGACCAGAAGAACTCTAAGATTTTTGTAGTATTTTTTGCTATTTTATACTTGACTGCCTTGTATTTTTTATTGTGTTGCCAGAATGGTAAACAAGCTTACATCCCACTTGATGGCAAGTGGAACAGCATACTGGATATCACAATATTATGTCATGTCATTTCGGAAAACTAAAATGTTCTGTAATATTACTTCCTTATCTCACCCTACAACAGAAACATATCATTACATGTCCCAAAGTAAGCAGCTTGGCGTGTGAAACAGACTTTATAGAGGCACCCATGCCGATGAGTTTGTACAAAGTATACTTCGGGAACATAATATACAGTATATACCATTTATTATAGTAAAAAAATGTATAAATGTGTAATAAATAAAACCGTAGCTTTATTCATATAACTAGACCCCAGATAAACTGGGAACATGGGTTCAGTCAATGATGATGAGATTTAGTAATATGATTAGAAATGAAAGTCATATTTATTCAAATAAACTTAATGTAAGCACTTTTGAATAGTCCTATTTTTTATTCGAAACTCACTCATCAGAACCACCAGAAACCAGCTTGTCGCATTTTTAAATAAACGTTGTTATTACATTTCTAAGAGTTTTATGTGAATATACATTTGAATAGCAAAGTTGACATAAATAAATAATTACTTGTATACCTTTTACATGTTTTGACGGCCTCTATGGTCTATGGTTTAGCACCGCTTTAGTTACGGGTTCGATTCCTCGCACGACACATATATTTGTAATCTTGAACATGATTGTTTGAATCGATCTGGGTGTTTTCTTATTTACAAAAAATATATCTAAGTATTCTATCGGTTGTCTAGTACATAGCACACATAATACAAGCTCTGCTTACCTTGAGACTAGTAGGCGGCATGTGTTGTCCACGGTTATTATTATTATTACATGTTTGTGTATTTATTTACTAATGTATTCAACAGTTTAATTATTAAAGTATTGTATAGTTTGTAAACATAAGAATAAATTACCTGAGAATTATATTCAAATTATTTATTATGGATCATCTATATTGGGCCTTATGGCGAAGATGTGAAGATACAAAATGGCGTAACATTCTTAATGCATCTTGCGTAACGTAATGGCGTCTGCCGACGTTCCAAGAGATGATGCTGTGTGCTTCATGCATTCGGGAATGTTGCGCCAAACTGCAACAGAACGAGAACAGTCGAAGATTTAGTTTTAATATTTTTTGAAATACTGTATTACCAACTGTGTATATATTAATTTTAATGGTTGATAGTGGAATGGTGCAACCGCCTGCGCTAACGGTTTACGCTGGCGACGCACCGGTGGAGGATGATAAAATGAGCATGAGGTTAGATCAGTTAGCTCATCGTGACAAATTCACCAGGAATTCATCAAGATTGGTTTCTAGAGGGAAACCGCGTGGAGGTCAACCTGACATGGTACATTGCTAGCAGTGGGGGAAAGGAAAGAAAGAAATTTAATGTCAGTTAATAATTCATATTATTTTTGTATGTATATAGCATTTTTGAGTCACAGTGTTATTAGCCATACTTCACTGAAACGGCTTGACCGATTTTGATGAAATTTTATATGTATATTCGGAATGTTTGAAAATAGGTTATCTATGTTTTATACCCCTAAGTGATAACGTTGGCCCAGTAGAATATTATTTTATTTGTGATTTTTTTTATGAGTCAGCATTAAAAATACTTAAAAAATTTCACTCTTCTACCAAGGCAAAATTAATATTAGAATAAAATAGAAAATATTTTTTTGAAAAAACTTACATTGAAGTACTTTGAATAGTCATTACTTGTATTTTAATCTTACCGCTCATTCGGAAAGCTGTCTTATTGCAAGAAGAATGAGAAAGGAACTTGCGTGTTCTGTTAAATAATTTAGTTGTAATTAATATTGAGAACACGGCCATTTTTTAATTTTTCTTTCACAAACATAATTATAGATTTTTTACTGAAATAAATAGAAATAATCTTTATTCAAATAAACTCAATACAAGCACTTTTCAAGTCATATTTTTTGTTCTACTCATTCGGAATTCGCAGATTCATCTTTCAATAATTTAGTTGTAATTAATATTCCGAATATTGTTAGGCCGTTTGTTATCATCCATAAACATACTTATAGCACAGATAACATAATATTACATACAGATACCCCATCCCATACAAGAAAATGGTTCCTTCCTAACTCGGGCTATTCTTCGGGCTATTTTATTTCGCCACCGTAGCCGCTAGATGTCGCTAGATCTGAAGCAGTTCGGATTACTAGTGGGTGCTTAGTAACAAAGCATGAAAATAGATGGCAGTCAATTCAGCTACATGACATCTGTTTTGCAAAGATATGTATATAATAGATATGTAGGTTACTGTATCGTGTACCTCATTAGGGACGATTCAAGATTCAATGTAAATGTGTAGGTATAATATCGTTAGCCGACACTCTGCAGATATGGCTTATGTGCCAATGTATATACCTATTATGTTATGGTTTATTTTACATTCCATGCCTATTTTTTTGATATGTTGTAACGCGTCTGCGCTATACGTATAGCCTGATTTTGATACGTTTATACTCGTACGTATCAAAATCGGGCTATACGTTTTTTTATTTCAATCGTTATATGTATGAGACTGATTTTAGCTACAATTAATTTACTGGTATATACCTCATGTATTCTACGATGTACCCCTCTTTTACCTAATGAGAATTCCGCTATATCTTATATTGTTGGATCGTCATAAAAATAATTAAAATAAGTTGTAAAACTATTGCGCTGCGTGCGGTATTCAACGAC